TAGGTCCAAGAGGATCCTGATTATCCGTCTCCATCGGAGGCGCCGCCTTTTCCTCCACTGGCGTGAGAAGGAGTTCCTCCTCTGCGTCAGTTAAGAGAAGCTCTGGTTCCGAAGACCCTTGAGCACTAAGTGGTTGTATGTTGTCCTTAGTGTCGTTGTTGTTGTTGTCACTGTTATTATTTGTCTTGTTGTTGTTGTTGTTATGTTCCATTTCTTGTCCCACGAGTAGCGCGGGAAAGTAAAGTCACCCATGGCAGAGCCCGGCATACCATGGGAAGGCTCATTTAAACTGGAGGGCGCCTGGTATCCAGAGTCCGCATACTAACGACTAAGCTCCCCCTTAGCCACGCAGTCATCGGCATATGCTGTTCCACCTTGACTTGGGACGCCTGTCGTCAGCTGACGTATAGATATAGGGCTGAAACTCACAAAGCAAGAGGCTCGCCGCGAGACATGACCACGACACGAACGTAACTTTGATCGTTTCAATCACCCCTTTATCCTCCGCCATTACCGGGGCCCACCACTAGGAGGTGACAGTGCGGTTTTGGGCCCCCACATTATGTATATACAATATATTATAATAATTTGTTATAATTTAATTGAATAAAACATTAATTTGTATATAAATATACATATGTATATTTTATATTACAGTCTACAAATCCTTACAATTACAGTAGCAATATGATGATGATGACACCTATGGAAGCCTCAATGGAAAATGTTGATGATGGAGTTGAAGAAATACGACGTAAAAAGCGATCAATTCAAATAGACAGAATACAAAAAGTGAGAAAAATAATTTATTTCAAATAATTGTTTTTGTTAAGCTAAATATTATTTAATTTAGGTTAATGAACTTTCTAAAAGAATTCTGTTGTCAATTGATGGTTTTGTAAGTTCAAAATATGATAACGGCAAATGTCTCCAAAGAATCCTGTGTGAAAATAATTTATTTGCAAGACAACAAAAAGATGAACAAAAAATTTGGGTACCTATTTGGAGGTATGTATCATTGTACATAAACCATTTGTTAACACATTTAAAATTCAATAATTTTTTTACTATTTTAATGATTAATTTTTTTAAGTTTGGCTTTAAGCTGGTTAATTAACACCAAAGGTCTTGGTAAGCGCTAAGCTTTGCTCGCTGAATTCATATGACATACAGTGAACAGACAAAAATTTTATTTGCATGTATTTGATATGCGACTTTTAGCTGTAACGGCACATTAGATTATCAAAAAAGTTCTAAATTTGTGCTTTTTGTTATTTTAGGTTTTTCAATTCAACACCAACATTCAAAATAACAAGCTACTTTTAATAAGTATTTTGTTGTCAAAAATTATAAAACAGCTCTTTTCCACTAATAGAACATAATAGGTCTATCTGGTATAAAGGTTGGAAAAACTTTAAATAGACAAAACAATGACGTAATGTTTCACAAAAAAAATCTCATTTAAAAAAAAATAAACCAAAAGCAAAAGTTGAAAAAACTTTGAAAAACTTTATAATTAGGTGATAAACGTCAAATTTTCAAATATTTATCAAACATAAACAAATATTTTTTGGTTTTGCGAAAAACAGAAAATTTTGATTTTGTATAACAAAAGTGTGAAAATTAGAAAAAACCATTTACGAATCCATTTTGTTTATTTTATTTTTAATTAAAATATTTTGAAAAAAAATATTGTTGATGAAGAATTTTTTTTTGAAAAATATGTTTTTGACAGCTTTAATATTTTAAAATTTTGTTGAAACACCACATTTAAAAAAAAACTTCAAACATTGAGAAAATGAGAATTTCATCATTTACTCTCATTTTTATTCAAAAAGATAATACCAGAATCTTTGCATACAAAAAGTTTATAAAGTTTTTTCAAGTTGTATAAAGTATTTAGAAATTTATGCCAGACAACCTAATATAATCGATACAACGTTTTCGCTACAATGCCAAAAAAACTTGTGTTATTAAATATTATTTCTAAATCAAAGTGTACATATGTATGTGTTTTACTCACTTTTGCTAATTTTGAAGTTAGCTGTATGTACATATGTATGTATGCGTAACTGTATAATTTATGGTATACATATTGTAAAAATTAAATATTCAATGATTATGTATTTACAGCATTGCAAAACTTGAAAGCCACAGCTATCGGACTCGGTGGAGGAAATTGCGAAAGTTTTAGAGATTGCAATATGGGCTCAAGAAAATGATCTATAAAACATGTACATACATACATACATACATATGTAATTCTAAAATAATTTAATTTGTCTCTGGCAATTTGCTATTGCTTACATATCTATGAACTTATTAAAAATTTAAAATATATGTATATTAAGAATTAATTTATTTTGAAAATAACAATTTCCAAGTTTAAGAAACAACAGGTATCTTCTGGCACCGATTTTTTTCAAAATCCGGAATCGCTTTTTCAAAGCCTTTGTTACTATTGAAAGTCGTCAATAGTATCTGAAGGGCTTTGAAAATTTATTTAGGGAAATCGTTTCTGCAACTTGTTCACAAAATTTGTACTCAGCAAGTTCTTTAATATTTTAGTGGTCTACTGATCTGAGATTCTGATAACAGGGAAGAGCTTTGTTAAAACTCATATCATCGGTAAAGTCTTAAAACATGTCTGTATTTCATAAATGAAGGATTCAAAATTTCTTCATGCCATTTAGACATGCCTCGACCTGAAAAAATTAAAAAAAAAAATCGAGTTGAAAAAATTCATTATAGATTATATATCCATTGCAGATTCAAAGCTGTTGAAACTAAAGCAGAGCTATGTTCGGAAACTCTTCCGTCAATTGATAGACCTATACATTACAATAGTATTGGTGTCTGACCAACCTCGTTTATACATAAATGTTTGAAATGTTTTTTCAAAAATATAATTGCCTCAGAAAGTCCGCTATTTTTGTTTTTGCCAGTGCAAATTCACAGCTCCAAACGCCGCCATGTTATCTGAGAGCTCAATTGTTTGAAACACAGTGTTATAAGAGTCCAGACTCTCCCTTATATAAACCTGACAAAACACTAAAAATCAAAAATTATTACGAAATAAAATATATATTTTTAAGGGCAGTAAAACATAATATTTGGATAATATATTAAATTTAATTTTATGAAATATATTTAAAAATAATTGAATTTTGTCTAAACTTGATTTATTTGAAATATCTATAATACATGTACAGATACTATAGATATTTCAAATAAATAAAATGTTTTAAAATATTTCCCTAATTTATAAGTACATAAAATAAAAATTTTTTAACTTTAGATGGTCTTACATATGAGACAGTCCCTCATATTACACATACATTTTTCATAATGAAGGTGAAGCTCAGATAAGAAAAAAAATACGCCCCTGTTACGAGTTTAACAATGCTTTGCCTGATGAAAGAGCAGTTACTATGCAACACAATATCTTATCTTTCTATTGGAATTTCTAATTCTTTGACCAATTTATTAATACAATAGGTATATGGAAATTACTGACATATTTTAGCAACATAAGGAATTTAATTCAAATCGAATAAAAATTGCAATGGGTTTGTAAAATATCACAAAACTGTTTGAATGCTTAATTGCATGAAGTTTTATGAAATTCTCAAAATTTTTTGTACTACAATTTCTAGTATGTGGAATAAACGACGCAATTATGGACCTTTCTATTTGAACGGAGTGTTTACATAGGCAACCTTTAAAGTAAAAGCGTTCGTAAAAGGAACGCTAATTTTATGTCTCAAGAGTTGAAACTAATATATAAGCTTAAAAAATTAAGGATTAAGGATTGTATTTAAAATGAAGATGTGAAGACGACAATTATCGGAAAAAAGTTTGCAATTACTGCTGTCATGTACCAAGGAAAAGTACTTGGGTCGCAGTTAGGTGTAGAAATGTGCATTTGTGAAACAAAAGATAAAGGATTAAATAGTTTTTACATCTTTCGTTCAGAGTTAAGACTCACAGTAAAAAATATCGATATGATATATTGTTTGAGTTTTTATTCGTTTTATTTTTTTTAAAATTGAACGTAAATGAAATATGTATGTATAATAAATAACCAAGTATTGTTTTCAAGTATGATTTTTTTTAAAGAGGTAATAAAAAGAAAGATAATATGACACATGAGCAGAAGAAACAAAAAAATAATGAATTTATAAAAATAAAAATACTTTTTTTCTATTCCAGAAAACCTGATTTTTGAATGTCGTATTTTATAACAGAATATTTACAATCAGGGAAATTCGTATAAATTTTTCATACCTAAAAAAATTTATACTCGATTCTACAACTATACGTCTGTATAGTTATTTTCACGAAACTGTAATATATTTTAGCTCTGTTATCATAGTAAAAAATAACGCTTTGTTTGGCGAGCGTATTTTTCACCAAGAATTATTATGTATTCAATTTTTTGTGGAATTAATTTAAACATACATTTTGACGTTGTCAAAATATAATTCAGTTTTTTAAATTGTGTTATTTTAAAACTAGCTGCGGGCTTATTATATTTTAATAAATTCCTTATTAACTAATGTCTTTATGTGGCTTATTATTTATTAATATTTTTATTATTTATTAACTAATGACTTTAGCGAAGTCTTGATGTGGAACTTGCTTTTGTTATTTTATATATCATTAAGAGCGCCTTACTCAACTTTGGGAATGAACGGAATGAAAAATCAATTATTTGTCTTGAAATAAAATTTAGCTGAGTAATTTTTTAATTAGAGTCACGTGAAAGTTCTTAGTTTTGGGTGATTTTCTCAACTTAGATAATTTACCTTACAAAATAATGCTTTCAATATCGTAGATAACTTGAAATTAAAATTTCAAAAAATTTCATACGTACAGATTTGCAATAACATTATATATATGAACAAACTTTTATATTTGAGTGTCACTTTTTATACCAACTGTCAGTTTCTAATTTGGTATAATGATGGTGAAGTTAATTGGGATTTTTTAGCCGACTATGTCGCCCTCCATCTTGGTTGTTCTATAACCTGGCTTCTTCCAAAAAATTATTGAAAAACGGGCACGAGGAACTTGTTAAAACACCCTACAGGTTTTAAATAAAATATTGTTAACTTAAATAATTTATTTCGAGGAATTTTGTTTAGTTAAGTTCTAAGTCCTCTAAAAAATTAAATTATTGATTGCAGAAACTGTGTTGAACGTGAAAAGAAATTTTTCAAGTCTCCGGTTGAGTGAGATAGAAATAGCATAATTTATAAAGGTATATGTGTGAAAAAGACAAAACATAATGGTTAAATTAAAAAAAAAATTTTTTTTGAAGTGTGGCCGACAAATAGTCTGAGGTTTGTGGCAAGGCGGACGAACCTCCAGCAACATAACTTTCATCATTTTTTTTTTAATATTAATATCAAAAGTACATCAAAAAAACTATCTACAATACAAAGTTTGTCGAATTTTTCACGGACTTATGTCTTCTATGATTACAAGATTTTTATTCATAACTACACAAACGTCAAAAAAAACTTTTGGACAAACGTCGTCAGCCATAAGCACTCAGAAAAATTACTTTACACCTCAAAAAAATCTCAACTTGTTAGTTTTATACTGGGCAAGGAGCAATTGAGGTTAATATCATGTAAGATTTATAATTCATATATACAATTTAGGTTATATTTTTTTTAGTTTTAGAATTTAGATCAAGTAATAGAAATTACATAAACAATAATAACTGTGGACAAGAACATCAAGAACCAATTGTTGGCAATTCCGAGCAATTTGAAAATAAAAATTTTAAAATGGTAACTCCAAGTACCGCTCGTGTTTATGCTGATGTTAATTCACATAAGCCTGATGAGTATTGGGACTATGAAAATTATGTTGTAGATTGGGCAAATCAAGATGATTATCAGTTAGTAAGAAAGCTAGGCCGGGGAAAATATAGTGAAGTGTTTGAGGCAATTAACATAACAAATAACGAGAAATGCGTAGTTAAAATTTTAAAACCAGTCAAAAAGAAGAAAATTAAACGTGAAATAAAAATTTTGGAAAATTTACGTGGAGGGACTAACATAATTACATTGTTAGCAGTTGTTAAAGATCCAGTATCTAGAACCCCAGCTTTGATATTTGAACATGTGAATAATACGGATTTCAAACAGTTGTATCAAACATTAACTGATATTGAAATACGATATTACTTATTTGAGCTATTAAAAGCATTGGATTATTGTCACAGTATGGGTATAATGCACCGTGATGTAAAACCTCATAATGTTATGATTGATCATGAAAACCGTAAATTACGTTTAATTGATTGGGGTTTAGCTGAATTTTATCACCCTGGTCAAGAGTATAATGTACGTGTTGCATCCAGATATTTTAAAGGACCAGAATTGTTGGTTGATTATCAAATGTATGATTATTCATTGGATATGTGGTCATTAGGTTGTATGCTTGCCTCAATGATATTCCGTAAAGAACCTTTCTTTCATGGTCATGATAATTATGATCAGTTGGTACGCATAGCTAAAGTGCTGGGCACTGAAGAACTATACGCCTATTTAGATGCATTCAATATTGAACTTGATCCAAGATTCCACGATATATTACAAAGACATTCACGTAAAAGATGGGAACGCTTCGTTCATTCAGATAATCAACATTTAGTGTCACCAGAGGCATTAGATTTCTTGGACAAACTTTTACGTTATGATCACCGTGAAAGACTAACGGCCAGGGAAGCCATGGCACATCCATATTTTTCGCCAATTGTGAATGGACAAGTTAATATACATAATTCATCAATAAAATGCTCAGAAAAGTAAGTAAAAAAATTATCGACAAAACTAATTTGAATAAGTTTGAAAAGAAAAAAGCTTTTTATAAATTTACATATAAAAGATCAAGTTAATACAAAAACCTTTGTTAGTAAATTGGGTACATAATATTTTATGTAACTACTGCAGTTGCCCTTTTCTGATAAGAATCAATTTCGTGGTGCTATGCAAATTGCAAAAAAAAAAGCAAATTCAATTTGAATTTTCCCAATATCACTGAATTCTAATTAAGGATAGAAATAAAAGAATATTTTAACTTGTTTTTGAGTTTCTTATCTTTTATTATAATTCATATTTTTATTATAAAGAAAAAAACCTCTCAAAGTCCACATGTAATTCAAAAAATTACATGTTATTTTTAGTGATATTATAAAACCAGTTTATTTTACCAACATCAAACTCAACAATTCCTAATCTTAATTTAATAAAATTTTAATATTTTTTCTTTTTGTTTCTTTTTTAGGAAAAGGGAAGAAAATTAATTTTTAGATGAGAACAATTTATAACCATCTGTTCAAAAAAGAAATTAAATAAAATTAAAAAAAAAAGAAAATAAAAACAAATTTACCTAAACAAAGAGCAAACGTTTTTTAAAAAAGGAAACTTTTTAAGTTTAAAAATTTCGATTATTTGGAACATACACGAAAAACATAAATAAATAAGTTAATAAATAAAATATAGAAAAGAAACAAAATAACATAAAGTAATTTTTTAAAAAATAGAATATCAAATTAAAAAAATTAACAAAAAAATAAAAAAAAAGAAATATATAAAACATAGCGGAATAATAACAAATAGGATAAATAAAAATTGCTAGATTTTTTTTTTCAAACATTAAAATAAATGAATTAAAAAACATTAAAATATTTTTTGTTTTGCCTAAAATCAAGAAAATTCAATTTTCAAAATAGAATAATATTCTTCCCTTGTTTTATCACTTAACACATTTTAATTTTTGTGTTTATACCAAATTATTTAAAAATAAAAACAAAATATAAAATTTAAAAATTTTAAAAACGCCATAAAAATTTCGTTCTAAACAATACAATTAACGGAAATAGTTTATTTTTAGTTTTCCATTAAAAGAAGGGTTATGAATTTAACTGAGTAAAGCAGATATATTTATTTTGCAATTTATAATAGTCCATTCAATTAAAAAACAAACGAAAAATTAGAAAATGAAATTTCAAAGAAATAAATTCAAAATAAACGGCTTAACTTAATAATCCTATATTAGTATCATATAAAAATAAAATTTAAGCACTCAGAACTAAAGAATAATGAAAAAAACTTGTTTGGCAAAAATTATCGTTTTAAGGTTAAATATTTTTTTTAGTTATTACTGTAATACCCATATATGTATAATTTTTCCTAAGGATATCTCAAATATATATACACATATATATATATATATATATATATATATATATATAAATATATATAAATATACGTACCTATACTGTATACGTCATATTGTTTTATGTTTATATGGTTAACTATGTTATATTATTATGAATGCATATTGTATATTTATATGCTATTATATATATATATGTATTTACATATGTATATATATATAATATGTACATGGATTTATAATTTATGCCTGTAAACATATTATATTTTTATCTTTATAAATGAAATAGTAGTTTAATTATATATATATAAATGTGTATATTTATTTATACATACATAAATAAATTCGTATAATACCAATATATATATATATATACATAATTGTATCTTCTTATAAGAAAAAACTGTCAAAATTGTAATATAAAATATATAAAAGTAAATATAATTAAATTATTATTAAATTACAAAAAACAATAAAAAATCTCTATAAATGAAGTTTACGTTTTAACAAACAGCAAATTATTTGAAAACGTTTTGGTTTTCAGAATGAATTTTTAATATTTAATGTTAGAAAATTATTTCGATTCTGTATCGCCCTTAATTTAGATAAGTTCTGAAATAACATCGATGTTCCATAATTGAAATTTGTATGAAAAAAATATATTGTTGAAAACCTTAAAAAAATTTATTGTTCAAAATTAATATTGGTACAAATATTAAATATTATTTTCTAATAATTTACTTCCTAAAGACATCCATTAGCATCCCAAAATAATTTTTGTATTCATTCAAATTTAAAATATATTTAATATAAAATGATTAATAATGTAGCCGCAAGTTATTTTTGTAAATATTAATGATTAATAATTTTAACGTTTCAACAAATAATAATTGAAAATAGCGAATGAACTCAAGAACTTTTGTAAAGTTTTATTTCTCAAACTCGATATGTAATAATATCGGTTTATTCTAAAATTTTAGTAAAATAATTTTATTGAAATATTTTAATGTAAATAACTCATGATTAGACATATCATTATGCATTTTAAAAATTAAGTTCAAAAATAAGTTGAGATAATAAAAATTTTATAAAGTTGCAACCAGGATTATAAAGTCCTAACTGATTTCGAAGTCACTTCCATTTTAAAGTAACTCATCAGAAACATAATATATACGTTTCTTTTTTAAATGCTATTGAGTTATAAAAAGTAATTATAGACTATGTAGTTATAAAATTTGATATACATAATTAAAAAAGCGGGCATCGCCAATTTATTTTTCTTTTTTTTGTATATTTTTTTTTTGGAGATGTGTGAACGGTGAAATAAATGGTAAGTTTGTTTTTCTTTTCTTTGAGAAGCATACTTTTTTTTGTTAGCTCTAGGTATTATTTGGAAAGTTAAAAATCTTTTTGTAAGTTATTATATAAAAATATAACATAAATAAAAACTTAACATGAAAATTATTAAAACAATTATATATCCTTTTTATAATATGTATATTATTCTATAGAAAATAGCTTAACATATAATGTGTATTTTTATTTTTGTCAAAATTTTTAGATTGGATTGAAATATCGTTTCATATTATAGGTGTATGTACATACATATTTTAAAATTGGAACTTTCAAAACGGAATTGGTAGGGTTCGTATCTGTGCGTAGTTATGCGGGTATTCAAAAATAAAAATCGGTTTTTTTGAATTATTTTATTCTTTGGAAGGTAATTTGTACATATTTTAAAATAAACGACATGCAATTCAAGTTAAATAATCAAAAAAGCTTTCATACTGAATATTTCATTTTAATTTGAAATATGTAATGGCTTTTAATTAATATTAAGATAATAGGAATAAATGGATATAATACATACATCATTAACTTATAGGCAATAGTTTTAATACCAAACAAGAAAGGAAACAAATTAAAACAAAAATGTAATCTAAAGAATAGTTCGTGTTTTTACTTTAAAGCATCCCAGACATACTGAAATAAAACAATCTTCCCTCCATTTATGACATGCTTAAAAATATATTCTTAAAAAATTCGACTAATTCACTTGATAATTGTTTATCCTAAAAAAAAATAAATGTTTGCGAATTATTTTACTATTTTTATTTTAATATAAATAATTTAAGAAAAGGAATAACAATAATTTACAATTTGCGAAACTGCGTAGGATTTATTGGTTTTCGGTCCGAAAAGAAATTTTTAAGTACTAGAATTTGCGTAATAGCTATAACTAAAATTGCAAGTGTCTCTACAAACGCCCATACTAAAACTCTTTCATTTAAATCTTCAGCTCGTTTACGACCTAAAAAGATTGTTTAATTTGAAGAACTTGCAACACATATTTTAAAATTTTACCTTGAGCTTCTCTTAGTCTGTGATGTGTTTGTGCGTCAAGAATTTGATTAAGACTTTTGTGAATGTTTTGAGATGACGTTTCCAATTGTGTTAACACCGTTACATGTTCATCAATGCCAGGTAAAGGCTGTTCTTCTCCAACTTGAAAATCAACATAAACTAATTTATGTGAAAACGATGAAAATTTATTGCTAAAGCAGGCCTTATAAACTCCAGTAATCTTAAATATAAAAATAATAATGTTAAAAATGCTTGAAACGTTTTCAAGAAATTGGTTTTCTTTGAATGAATTCTATTGATATTCATTAATTTTTATCGAAATTTCAACCTTAAACGCTTAATAAATTAATATAATATTTTAATCAAAAATAGAGAGCTGATTCATAGCCACGTAAATCATTGAAATAAGACTATTTAGTTTTTTAAAGTTTTCAACCCACCTCAGCAACAAATTGGTGGCTATCGAAAGTTTGTCTCTGTTGTTCATATATGACTTTTCCTTTGGGATCTGTAAGAGTAACATCTACATCTAAATGAGCCCCAGCTGAAACCTAATACGTACAAACATTAGAAAGTAAAATTTACATTGATTTTTCAATCAATCAAACCTGGAACTCTAAAAATGCAGTTGTGTTTTTTTGTATCATTTCATAAAAACAATCCTCAGCATTGTCCGGCAAATCAAATGTGAACTCAACACAAGAGATCATACGTGTTAAAAATGTGAACATATAATAAGAAAAAAATAATTCGAATGACTTCATTCTTAGATTTATTTATATTCGCATTTATTTCGCACTAATTTTTTATTTCTTTTTTTATGTTGTAATAATGTTTTCAATTTTTTAAGTCAAATAAAAATATTTAGCATTTATGTACTTTGTTTTAAAAATATTTTTTGTAGTAATACTTTAAACTTAAAACTGAATAACATATTAAACACGAAATCATGAACACGATTACGATTACCAAAACTGTCAAAATCAAATTGACACAACATTGAAGCTGTCATGTATTACATTTTTTTATATTACAGATCGAATGCTTGATTTGAAATTGCCGTTGTACGTTTTCAAGTCAAACCTATCATTTTATCGGATCGATTTGCAAGTCAGTGAACCATAAATGTAGTTTGAAATACAAGCAATAACTTCCAAAAACAGAAAGCGTCTCATTCCTAGTTCTTAGTTTCCCAAAAATTTTAAAGTTTTCCATATACAAACTATAAAGAATATGGGTTTTTTATTTTAGGGTGGGTTTCCACTCAATGTATAGACGTTCAGACAATCTTTTTAATCAATCAAAAACTTTGATTTTACTAAAACTATGCAAAACTGAAACGGCTAGCTTAATTTTTAATTGTGTAAAAATATTTTTGTCTAAACAGTGACTATATACGAACAAAGAGCAGAAATACATTTTTTGTAAGCTACAAATACTAAGTATTGTTCATAAATTTTCCTTGATGTGAATTGGGTGAATATATGATTTTTCTGTCAAACAAAATCAAAGGACGTTCACACATAAATTGAGCTTGTGTAGTGCACATCTTTTAAATTTCTCACAACCTCTCTCCAGAATTGAATTGCATTTTTATGTAGATGAGCAGAAAAGATTTGAAAAAAGGATTATTTGAAGAAAAAATGAATCTGTTACTCATTTCCTCACAACAAGCTTCTGTATGCGGTCTTTTACGTGTTGGAAAACTCGTAACTACTATTAACATTTACTTACTTGATATTTATCACTTCCACTTTATTTTTACTTAAAACTTAATAAAAAGTTTTCTTTTTTCATACATGTATGTGTATTAATTATAACTAAAATAAATTTATTCACTTAAATTTTTTATTCTTCACTTCATTCCACACAAAAAGTTATACTAAAAATATAAAATAAAATCAATCAAACTTATAAGCTAACACCCAAAATTGATATAATAATTGTAAAAATGTTTCTACTTAAATAATAAAAACATAAAAAATAAAACGCAATTATTGCCGAAGTCAATCAATTTCGGCAAACATCTGGGTTTTCTAAATTTGCAAAAATAAAAACAAAGAAAAATATTGCGAAATGCATAAAATATAGAAAAAACTAGCAAGAATAAAGACGAAAAAAAAAACAATAATTGCCAAAAGCTTACTTTCGCTAAACTACTAAATGATTCAAGACCTCTATTGATTATTTGAATGGAATCACATAATTAAGTGAGCTGCATATTAATAATTTTCAAATTTTACATTAGACCAATTGTTAATCGCGTCGGATATGATGTTTTCGAAAAATAGAAAAAATATGTTAAACGGCAACTCTTAAAATTGAAGTAAAAAAGCTGTCAAGGAATGAAAAGAAAATTAAAATATTATTACCAAGATGTCCGCCATTAAGGATAAAAGGAAAAGAATATAAAAGTTTTAAATTAACCTTTTAATATAATCATTTACTGTAAAAGATTTTTATACCTAAACCTAAAGATATTTTAAACGTAAATAAATGAAATGTAAAACTTTACTAAAACATATAAATTAATAATAGGCGCAATATTTTATGTACATTTGTTTTTATTTATACTCGACAAAAATCACAAATTTATGCTTGCTATTTGGCAAAAAAGTATAATTTTAGAAAAAAAAAACATACATATTAAGTTTTGTTATAAATAATATTTTCTAATTATCGAATGCAAGTTCGCAAAATATTTTTAATGGAGTAATGACGTTCTGTTTTTGTGGGTAGAATTTAACTTTTTTTTAGACATTTAGGAAAATGATTAGAATTATATTAAAGGAAATTATCATAATAACTGCTTTAACAGGTTTAAATATAAATTTAATTTTTATAATTCTTTTTAAAATTTATTTTTTTTTTGTAGAAATAGCACAAAGTCTCTTGATTAGTAAGACGCAAATTAAATGTGAGTCTTATGACCACAAACGTTGTACTAAAGAAAATAAATGTGATGTTGAAGAAGTGTTGTGTCCAAATGATTCTGAAAAGCCTCATGTTACCTCTAGTTGCTACGTTGTGTGGTCCCTAGACGAATTAGGTGAGAAAACTACAGTATGCACTTATTAAAAAATTCTTTAATAGTAATAATATATGTATGTGTATATGTGTGCGTATGTATGTTATTCTGATATGCATTATGTGTTAAATATAATTCCCTTAAAATTTTTTTTCTCTTAAGTATTTAAGAGGCCTTATTTAAATGATAAAATTATTTTTAAGGTGCTCCTGGAAATATTTCTATGAAGGGTTGCTTTACTGATAACGCTGAATGTAATCAACCAGAATGTATTGCGCGAAATATTAAACCAAATGGTATCATATTTTGCTGTTGTAAAGGATCGTTTTGCAATAGAAATTACACATATATTCCAACGCCAACAACTCCACCTAGTACTTGTAAGACAAATTTTACAATCATTTAGAATAAAGATAGTAATTTCGATATTTATTTTAGCACCCAAAGAGCCTGCTGGAGATAATAATATTTTATATTTCTTGATAGCATTTTTGATTTTGATCGCTCTTATAATAGTTTTTTGTTTCGGATTATGTTTATACCGTCGAAAAAAACAGGGTGCTTTCAATGAAATCCCCACGGTAAGTTTTTAAATTTTCATGTAAATCTTGTGTGCTTAAGTTACGTTTTTAGATTGAACCAGATGTAGCAAATTCTTCGCCTAATTTGGCACCCAGACCTATTCATTTGATTGAAATGAAAGCCAGAGGTCGTTTTGGTTCAGTTTGGCATGGCCGATTAAGAAATCAAGATGTTGCAGTGAAAATATTTTTCGCTCAAGAAAAAGATTCTTACAATACAGAACTCGAAATATTTAAGGTAAAACCAATAATTAATGGATGTTTTGTTATGTATGGTTAAGTATCAAATTTAAAATTTTGATTTATTTTTTAGCTTCCAAGAATGAGACACCCTAATATTCTGGAATTTATTGCTGCTGAAAAACATTTCGAAAAGATACCACAAGAATATTGGTTAATTACAGCGTATCATACTTATGGCTCATTATGCGATTATTTGAAAGCTCACACAATTACTTGGTTTGAATTGTGTAAAATAGCAGAGACAATGGCAAGAGGGTTAATGCATTTGCATGAAGAAATACCGTCGACAAATCCAGATAATTATAAACCTGCAGTCGCCCACCGAGATTTTAAATCAAAAAATGTTTTATTGAAATCTGATTTAACCGCTTGCATAGCAGACTTTGGATTAGCAATGATATTTCAACCTGGACAACCGTGTGGCGATACGCACGGTCAGGTTGGGACACGAAGATATATGGCACCGGAAGTTTTGGAAGGTGCAATTAACTTTACTAGAGATGCATTTTTGCGCATTGATGTTTATGCTTGCGGTTTAGTTTTGTGGGAAATGGTATCTAGATGTAATATTCATAATGGATTAGTTAGTGAATATACACTACCATTTGAAACTGAGGTAAATGCCTGAGAAATATGTTATTTATGCATTTTAAAATCTTTGAACAATTTAATACAAAAATATAAATTTATAGTTGGGGCTTCATCCGACCTTAAATGAAATGCAAGAAAATGTTGTTATGAAAAAAATAAGACCCAGAATATGTGAAGTATGGAGAACACATAGTGTAAGTAAAATTTTTGGATAAATTGTGATGATTCATAATACCATTACCTAAAAAAAAATATTCTAGGGATTAAGTGCAATATGCGATACTATGGAGGAGTGCTGGGATCATGATGCTGAAGCAAGACTGTCGTCATCTTGTGTTATGGAACGCATTTCGCAACATACAAGATATCCCACAACTCCATTATTAATAGAAACCAACACCGATACAACTTTTAGAGACTCATAAATCTTTCAGTAAAATTTACAATTTAATAAATAACAATAGTATGTAATTATATGATTTTAAACTTTAAATTGTTAATTAATTTGAGACTAAATAAGTAATTTTAGATTATATAAACGTATACATTTATATGTTACATATATGTGTACACAATATATATATATATATAAATATATATATATATGTATATATATATATATATATATTCAATTTGCGTATTTATATATGTAAGTATTTTTATATACATTCTTACATTATATATACACGATATTTCATCATGAAAATATAATTTAGCCGTGAATTATAAACATAATTTATTACGTTTATAAGCATAATACTTTTTGTACAGATAATATAATAGTTTATATTATATTAAGCAAAACCCATTTGTACAACTAACTTTGTATTTATATGGTACGATAAATTATATTGTTAATATAATATAATACACATATTTATATTTAATGTGGCTTGCATAGGCGGTTCTCAGATAAATACATAAGTAGAACATTCAAGTACAGATCTTAATATGATTATTCATAATATAACCATATTTAATTTTAAATATTTTTAAAGTTTTTGCAAAAGTAGTTATACATATATAAAAAAAGCTTCAGTTGAAATAAAAACGTATAAAAGTTTGAAATTTAAAGTCACATACATATATAGAATATATCTAATGTAAAGTATACTAGGTATAGTTTTAAAATGAAGATTAAGTAAGTCTTGATTGTTTGTAATAGTTAAAAACAATTATTTTCATTTCGGAGATTATTGACACAGATTTTAATCTATTAGGATTAAAGAAACGTTATAAAACTTTTTATTGTAATCATTTCCTTTGATATGCCATTTAATTATAATTTAAAATTTTATTTTTATTAATTAAAGAAAATTAAGCTTTAGTTCAAAATTTTGATTATACTGACTAATATTGTAGCGTTTAAATATTAGGTTTAATATTTTACAAAATAAAAGTATATTTTCAAAATTTTTGCTTTTATTTTTTCCTTAATTTAAATATAATTTTATTATTTTTCAGTTTGATATAATTTATTTTTTTTTTTTTTATATTGAAGAAATAATCATTAGTTTTGAAAGGATGAACATAATTCTCATTTTCTCAATGGTATCGTATGCAACTTTGATAAAAAATTCAGATAAAATAAAATATAAAAAAAAAGGAAATTTTGAAAATTCGAGAAATTGAAAAAGTGTATTGATTACTTTTATTAAGTTCATCAGAATTATAACGAAAACGAAATATGTAAATTCAAACTTAATTGAATTAAAAAATTGCAAATGTATAAAATAAAATTTTTATATAATATTTTTATAAAACAATATATCATAACTGTGCCAAAAGGAAGGTAAAACCTGATTAAGTAAAAAGTAAGAAACAAGTATTCGAAATTGGTAGAAAAAAAAAACGAATATAACTTAATTTTTAATACAATACAATTTTTCTTATTTTTTTATGCTATGTTGAAATAACTAACTTTCTTTTTACATTTTTTTTAGATTAAAAACTGAAGAAACATATGTAACAAATTTAGTACACATACATTAATAACAAGAAAAATAGGTCATTTACGATATCTAATAAAAAAAATTTAGTTAATATTTGTTTATGTTTATTTAAAAATTTATGAAAATTTTTATTCGAAATATCTTTTTTTCTAATTTGTTTGTGAAGTACTGTCTTAACTGTTTAAAGTTTCATTTTTACAATTTAATCTAATTGAACTGTAATTAAAATAGTTATAAAATATAAATCAATCATAAATAAAACAATTTTAATAAATTTTGAATAAAAATTTTCAAAATTTTTAAAAACCTGAAAGTACAATACACCTGAAAGTCTTCTACAAAACAAATTATATTAATTGTTTATTTTTAATATACACAAAACAACATGAGTTAAATAATAAAAATTTTATTATAGTTTCGTTTCTAATTCAAACCGAAATCATTCAGAATATAAGATTATTAAATCAAAATTTAATTGATATAAAATTATTAAATAATTAATATAGAACTAGCAAGTAGGGGATTTTTTATATTAATATAAAATTATGTACATACTATATAAACGTTTATAATATTTCTATATTCAGTACCTATAGTAGAATATAAGAATTTTTGCAATTAAACGGAAATTAAAAGAATGAAAAAATAAAAATATAAAACGTTGAAATTAAATTTAACAATATTTTAAAAACACGGATATTAAAAAAAAAAACAATATATGTAGACACTTTTTTGGATTTTTTTTTTAAATAGAAATATCTGTCGAAATTTGTGAGAAAGTTATTAAGAAAGTTAAGTAAAAAAATAATTATGTATAAAAAGGAAATATACAGGGTTAAAAGTAATGTTATTTAACACTAAAAATAAATATCAACGTGTACGCGATTCTCGTTTTAGTGCGATTGTTTGATCACCCTTGATATAATTGATAAAAAAGAATATTGGAGTAATATCTGCTAATGAAATGCTGGTACATATAGCTTAGTGAATTGCACTAAAACACTCACAGATTCCACTAACAACAGTGTAGAATAAAAACTTATGATCTGTGTTCATTGGAATTGAATTGTACCATAGAATAAAAAATTGTAACAAGTGATAAATAGAAAAAATGAAAAATTCAAAAATTGCACTTAAGGGTGGCATTATGAGCTTATACGATAATCTTTAAGATTGGTTTTTAAACTTTTCATTTGTTCTACATAACTTTATATTTTTCTATGATTATACAAGTTTTTCAGTAGAATATTTTCTTTTTATAAGTTTCATTTATTTTTCTACATACATAATACATTTTTAAGCAGAAAAGTGAGTTTTTACTGCAGCTTTGTTTCTCTCTAACGTATATAAATGATACTCATTTGCTTTGGATAAAAATGCGATACGGTATGGAAATTTTAAAAGTTATTGAAAATATTAAGATAAATTATATAAGGCAAATAATTGAAAATTTCAAATTAAAATTCCTGTTATATTAATTTTTTTTTCATTTAAAAATAGAAATATTTATCTCGTAATTATACGAGGAAGCGTATCTAATTTTTTTTAAAAAAATGAAAAAATATGAATAATTTTAAATAAAAATTGGAGATATTTATAATATCTAGAATAGTAAAGAACCATCTAGAACAGTAAAGAATAGCGAACTCCAAGAATTATTAGGAATTTTAAGTGGGACCTGGCATATTTTATATAATTTCTAAATTAAAACGTATATGCATAGTGGAAGTATGTATTATATAATATGAGTAAAATAAGTTAAAGAGAAAATGTATATTTGTTGGTGCTAAAGTATAAGTCATACTAATTATGATTTCAGCTAGTTTTTATAATTTTAAAATTAAAACTATATATATATTAATATATGTAATTGCATTAAAAATACGCATGAATTATATTGCATAAATATAAGTTGGACGTAACGCGGTCAATACAAATTTGAATATTATAATTGAATTACATATGAAATATACAATTTCGAGGTATAACAATACAAGTGAAATGTAAAATTCAAAAAAAAAAATGTAAAACTAAAAAAAAATATATTAGAAAATATTCAACTAAAAATCTAATGGATAAAAGGACTTTTTAAGCAAAAAATATGTGTTTAATGCTTATATATACAAGTATATTAGTTTAACATTATTATAAAAGAATTAGTAATTCAAATTAACACTACCTTAAAATACAAAAAAAAAAAAAATTGTAAATTAAAATAATTAAATTTTGAGATAATTTTTTTTTTTTATATACTAAAAATATAGGAATATTAATTTTTTTTATTATTAATTTTGATGGTACCTAAACCTAATATAATCAAATATAATTAATATATTTTTGTAATAACATATTTTATGAAAGTATTTTAACATATCATCGTTAAATTATTAAAAAAAATTGTTATATTTTAAAATTCTTGATTGAATAGTTTATACTATAATTATCTAATTAATTTTGTCTAATAATTGATCTAATTGGAAAGAAGGATGAAAATTAAAAATTATATTGAAGTTTTGATTATTTTAAAAATTTTTAAAAATTTTCTTTTTATTTCAATTAAATGTTAAAAAATTAATTAAAGTATATAAATAACGTTTTTTCCAAAGTTCATTCTTCGGGTCTAGAAAGAAAATTGGAAAAAAAAATACATAAATAAATCGTATTTAACATTTTTGAAGTTGAATATATATTATTTTTTAATTTTATAAAATTTAAAAATAAATCATAAGTATTTGATATAATTAAGATTAAAATATGACTTATAATGTAATTTAACATTTTATATCGAACTTTAAGACAGATATAAGGTTAAATAAAGTAACATGATTTTTAGAAACATTATTTTATTTCACTTATTTACTAGTCTTGAGCTTGTGTGATAACGCAAATTTTCAGTTTCGACAGAGGGAGAGTAATATATAAATCAATTAACTCAATTGAGAATTTTCAACTTAAAACCTACAGTTAATCCATTATTAGCGAATTAGTTTTATAAAAGAAAAAAAAAAAGAGAACAAATGGTCTTATAAACATAATGCAGATATTTTTTACATTCAATTGGGGAGTTGTAACTTAGATTTTAATATATATCAAGGTCGATAAATCAAAACAATAAAATCTTCAAATTCTACATTGATAGTGTTACTACTGAAATGAATATGTACCATGTTCGATAAGTGCATTGTTGTTGTAAGTCATTACTTGTTGTAAGGACGATGTTGTGTGAATTTCTTTAGTTTATGTAATTAAATATTATAATTGGGTCGATAATGCTTATGATCCAGTAGTTGATAAGGAACTAGGGGTTGTATAGTGTTCAGAATATCTACGTATACAATTATTGTAGGATTTCCCTTTTTTTTTTCTTGTAAGTTTGTTCTTCTAATAAAAAAACAAAATATCAAGGTCTTTCTCAAGGAATTTATTTTTTAATCGTCCATTTGTTTTAAGAAACATAATTTGTTTTAAAAAATTTTATAATTATATAATAAATAATTAATCTTATAATACTATAAGATTAAATGAAATCAATCCGTTTAGTTGAAGTTTTGTACTCAATCCTTATTGATAATACCCCATCTTCCCGAGTGATGAATCTCTAAGAGAATATGGCTTATTCTTAAATCAATTTCTTCGTTTTAATTTAACAATAATGATATAATGGTAATAAGCATAAAAAAATTTATATATTTAAAAATTTTTGATTTTGTTAATTTAAATTTTATCGCATGCTAATTTGTTCGTTTTTATAACTTAATACATGTTCTAATTTTGCCTACACTAATTTCCTTCTACATTCTCCTTTACGTACTATACATTATGATTAGTTATGTTGACCAATAACCTCAAATGGTTTAAAAATTGTGACTATTAAAAGTAAACCAAAAATAGAAAAAAAATCAATAATATTTATAACAATATTCTCAAAAGAAAAATTTAAGTTTATTTTTAATTTCTATTTTATCAGAGTTATTTTTGAGAGCATGCTGTTGATTTACCTCATTTCTTTTCTTTCTTATTTTAGTATTTTTTAATATAATACACATAATTGCAATTCGTTACTTTTATTATCCTAATGGCATATTATATAAATCAGGAAATAAAATTCTTAATTATGCATAACAATTAATAATTTAACAACAGGTCTGGACATTAAGAGAGCACAAAGTGAAACAATAATAAATATGGCAAAAATTTTTATAAAAAGTTTAGCAAAATTATTAAAAAATTTCAAATTTTCCAAAATCTTTAAAATCTTTGTTAGCTTAATATAGAAAATATAATATTTTAATAGAAAGCAATAAAATTATTTGCAAAATTTGCTTCAAAGTGAGAGTGTGAAAATGGGTGTCCAATTCTAGTTTCGTAATTATAATAATTTTACTGCCTCTGCGGTGTTACAAACAGAAAAGAGTTTAATAAACTCTTGAAAATTTTCTCAAACACTTTATACAATAATGACAAAATTTGATTTTAGAGCTAGAAATCGAACTCCTTTCCATTTGATTTTTATCAAATCTCTATAGTTAAAATGACTCTTTTTTCTAATAAAACGTTATAATTTATAAAAATGGTCTTACGTTTCTTATTAACCATAAAGTCAAAATACATATTTTAACAAAATATGCTTCTAGATTTTCCAGGCTTGTACTTGGAGAGGTTTTGGCAATGTCATGAAATTGTGTGCGCGTTTTTTTTATGTAGAATGTATGTATGTACATATTTTGTTTTTCATAGGTTTTTGACCTTTTTAACTTAAATTTTCTTTAAATATTTAGTATTTATGTAAGTATATGTATTTGATTTGTTGTGGCGATGAAAAAAACGATTAAAAAAATAGAGCAGAGTGTTATAAAATTTTTGATATAACAGGGTTTTTATGAAATTTTTAAATTTTATTATTTACATATCATATGTACATGGTATTATTTCAAAAAGTGAATTGTGGAATAAAGACCGTAGTTAATGAATGCATTATTATAATGCTTTCATGCATCGTAAAGGTGTCATTTAAGACGAACAAAAACTGATTGGCATTATCCTTCCTCTACGTTTCTATTCGAGTTATGAGATCTTCCAGAAATGCGGTTTTATTTATATATTTTGATTGCTTAGAAATACGACGGGAAATTTTAGTTTGATAGACTCATTTTAAAGGAAGATTAGATTAAAGGTAGCTTTTTCATTTTTGATCATATTTAACTATGTAACGAGTGAATTTGTTTAATTTTTTTGTAATATGTGTTTGTATAAATTTTATTTAAAAATTATTAAATCAAGATTTTTTTCAAGGAAATCGAGTCCTTGACGTAAAATCTTTGTTTATTTTACATTTTCAAATTGAAAATGTAAATTACTTTTACATATTAATATTCTTGCAATAATTACATTTTAGTTTTACCATAGGGTGGCACACCATAATAAATGTAATGTGATAAGTATTTCACCCTGTTAAATATAAAAATAAAAAAATTGGAACAAATTTAATAATTTCAAACTAAATACATAGTATGAATTTATGTAGTTTATAACTAAAGATTATAGGTAAGAGTACATTAATCGTCACATAAAAAATTAAATTATTCCTATGTAATATAATATTATATATTGTGTACATATACATATAACGAAAATTTTAACACTTACAAAAATATATGTATATTATAACGGTTCAATGGAAATTTAGTCCTTATTAAGAAAATATGGTTTTTGTTTCGTTCAATTGTTGACACGATACAGACGTTTTTATCGCTTCAAGAAAAAGTTGACTAATATTTTTGGTAAAGACAAAAAATAAAAAAAAAAATAAGATGAGATCCTGTGCAGCAAACCTTTTCCGGTATACAGTTTTCATATATAGTGGAGTTTTAATGGTTTGTAGTTAAAAAAAAATTTGCAATTAATTTTAAAATTTAATCAGTAATTCTTTTGATTAACCTTAATATGTTACGCATATTAAACAGTTGTCTGGTCTTATGATTTTGATCGCATCAGTGATAACATTTTCTAACATTTACAAATATCATGTATTCTTTGATGAAGGCATTTTAAGTTTACAACTTTTATCAATGGTTATTGGTTTATTGACAATAGGAATTGGAATTTATGGACATTGGTCAGCTAGAAAAGAGTCTCCAAAACATTTGAAGGCGGTATTTTACAAATTCCAAAAATTTCTTTGTCTTCTCTTCCAAAAATATTAAACTTTTAAAATTTACAATTAATTTTCGTCGAAAGAAAATTAAAATAGAATTTTATTTTAGTTTACAGTTCTTTTAGGAATTTTTTTTATCATTGAAGTGATAATTGGAATAGCAGCTGTCGCATTTGAATCGAATTTAGGTGAATCATGGAGATATCATTATTTCCAAAGGAATATGGAAGAATTAACACCTGATGGAATCGACGCTTGGGATTTGATGCAAACTGATTTGATGTGTTGCGGAATAAAAGAATTATTTGATTGGTCTACATATAGTGTTGATCAAAATATACCATATAGTTGCTGTAAGGACGGCACCGAATGTTTAGTCAGTAATAAAAACAATTTATTTGAGGTACGATGAAGTAATTATGTTTACAAATAAATATGTATATTGAATAATTATATATATATATATGTACTTATAAATTAAATTTTATTTAAATTGCATATTTTAATATATAATAAAATACAATAATTACAACATGGTCATATCTCTGTTAATATTTTTTCCAGTTCGGATGTAGTAAAAATTTAAAAGAATTAATTAATTATAGTCTCGCTGTTCTTATGATTATCAGCTTGATTGCATCGTGCTTCGACATTATTGGAATGTTTTTCTCAATTTCACTGATTTCGGTATTGGAAAGTGAGGATAATAGTAATAACAGTGAAAAAGACGATGAAGGTCAAGAAGCTGATGCTGTTCCCGAAGATGAAACTCAACCTGAAGAGTAAATTAGTAAAATTGAATTTGGAAATACAAAAGTATTATAAATGCAGTACTAATTTAATTTTTTATTGTAAAGAACAAAACTTAATTTTTATTTTTATATGTACAATAATTAATTTTTCTTAAATTTTAGATTTATGACTTCATTTTATAGTGACGATAGTTGTATCTTCCACATTTTTAGAGTAAAAATGGAAATTTGCATCGTGTAAATTAAAGTTTTAATTTCTTTAAAATAATAATATTGAAAATATTTTCAAAATTATTTAAGGTTTTTTTAATATTTTAATAATTTTATTACAAATTTCATGTCATATACTAAAGTTAATGAAATTAAAAATCAAAAGTAAAATATTAGTTTAATGAGATTTTTAACATTGGTAACACGATCGGTAAACCACTCTATTATTCAATGGTTGAATATCACGATTGGTAAATAATAAGTTTGAGCCATTTTCATCTTCCATCAGTACTAAATTTTCAACCTAGAAAACACATACATATGTACATAAATTAGAAAATAAAAACTAAAGAATATAACAATATAATTATATATATTTTTTTCCAATACCGAATTTTCGTTCACTTCAATAACGTCCCGAAAAACAATCCATTTGACACCTTCATTGCAATTTGGTGTTGTCAAAGATCCTATAAAAATATTGTATATTAGTTTATAACTCATTTTGGAAATTGATTTTTATACCCTCATAAAAAACAAAATTCTGAAAATCAATGTTATCGAGAAGATTCGTTAAATTATCATTTAAGTCTAGTGTGCTTTCTTCATCATAATCTGTAATAGTTAGCACACTATGATCAAATATGTCGCTGATTATGTTGTTGAGAAATTCACTTTTCTAGAAACGGAAAAGTAACAAATAGATATAAGATAAGTGCTTTTAAATACCAGTAAATGCTTACACTTTTAAAATATGTATAAAAAGCTTAACAAAATATATGTATGCAAGCATAATATTATATGTATAGTAAATATGAACAATTACAATATTATATTATACCCTAAGTAATACGCCTAGTACTAATATATTATTCGTAGAATTAACATGAACTAAATGAATTTCTGCATCTTCATGTATGTAGTTAAAAGCATGTTCAGATTCACCCCAATGGAAATGAAATTGTGTTAGATTATAAGTTGTTTCAAAAAATGTTACAGCAGGATGAAAATCTGGATTTAAAAATGTTATATGAACTGGAAATATACGATATGTATTATACGAGCTATTATCGGAACTGGTGAATTTTTTATATGAAAACAAATTTCTATAAACTTACTTGATTTACCATCATTTTTCAATTCAATTTCTCCAATTGAAACGTCATAATTTTGAAAGGAGAGCGACATATCTAAATATGAAGTCTTTAAGGAAACAATAGTTTAGAATGGGTTTAATATAAAATTTTGTTTTTCATAACTTTTTAAAATCAGAAAAAAAAGAAAATATTATTTTTACCTGGCATGTATCAATATTAATTGGTGATTGATTTTCTCCAGTTTGACATAATCCAGGCCAAATATTTGGGTTATATTGTTCATCATAAATGGTTTGACATCTTCCAACTATACATTAATTAAAATCAATCTTTATTTAACAGAAAAACTTTCATGAACTTTATTTATATAAAAATATTTATGGGAATTGTACCATGGAATCGATGATAAGAAAAATGTCAAAAAATTTTTTTGCTTCATTCATGTAATTTTTTTATAACATTAAAAAATTTGCTTTATTTTCAATTTTTAAAATGGATATAAGAATTTTGTGAAGCCGAATTTAAATCGAGGCCGATGGGAGGCCGACTTTAAATCGAGGCTGAATTAACAATAAAATGTGAGGCAAATTTAATTTAATTGTAAGTAATTTTAAAATTTAATTTTGTATTTTGATCTTTTTATTGCGATACCTGAGATCAAAGACTTTGAAGTCGTAGCTACAAAGCGACACCGTTTTAGTATGATATTTTGCAATGATATCTAGCACAAGCTGTGTTGTCCAATGTTTTTTTTAAATTAATTAGATATTTTAAAATTATCTACCATATTTTTTTTAAGAAAATTGTTTTCTTTATAAAATTTTATATTGGCTAACACTTTCTCCCACATTTGACAGCATAAATTGTAATTTAAATTACAAAAAATTATCAATTCACCTATGTGTGGATATAAGGTGCAACCCGAATGCATTAATTCAAATTTAATTAGCCTTTAAAATTTTTACATTTTCAGTTTTATACAAAATTTAAGTATGTATATTTTTAACAATTTCATTCATAAATATTTAAAAATATAAATTATGTTCTGAAGTCAGAAATAACATTGATCTAAATATTTGAAATATTTTAAAATTTATTAAAAATTTATTTAAAATTTATTTAGTTAACAGTTACTTACAATTAATATTGAGGATCAGTAACAAAATTTGTAGTAAATTTATATACCGAGAACAACTCATTACTCTATTTTAGAAATTTTCAACAATTTTTTAAAATTTCTGATACAATTGATGGGGTTTTTAAAGTACATTTCCCTTTTTATAGCTATAGTATAAACAATTTAAAATACACTATATGTATATATGTGTGAAATATGACGCACAGTGTTAAATTTACTGGATTAAGTACTAGGTCATGCTTTTAATTTCTTATTATTTTATTTTAAATTAAGGACGTAAACAAGATTATAAAAAAAATTTTCATATTTTGTATTATAAACTAAAAACAATTTATTTTAATTCGAAAAGTATGTATAAATATGTATAGGCACTTTATATTTAAATTATTTCAAGATTTTAATAAAATTTTCGGTTGAAATACATATGTAAGTAAAATGTAAGTAATGATTTATAATAAAGAACAGTTATAAATATAATTTACATAATTCAATTGACGTGTTGAGGATGTATAAGATGCATGTGCATATATGTAGGTCAAAATTCATAAAGTTCTAGATAACTTTACAATTTTATATATGTACATATGTGCATCTATATTTTTTAAAAACAATGTTATACTACTAAACTAGTCAATGTAAATGAATAAATAAAAAATCAACTTTTCACGGAGATTGTCTCTTATTACTTGAAAAGTTATATAAAGGTAAATTAACTGTAAATTTTTGGTTGAAATCGAATGAAAATGGGAAAATCTTTACTATTTTTGTCTACATTTATAGTTGGCATATTATATAGTTACATGTAAAACTATGCCATTTTAAGTTATCCGATTTTTATATGTATTTTTCACAGTGTATATGATCACTTGACTTACCATAATAAGAATCAAATATTGTTGAAAGCTAAAATGGTTTAGCAGTTTCGTAATGGTTAAACTTTAAAGAAGTGTGTGGGCTATGGAACAATTGGCCTGTTTTTCATAGAAGTATACACATACTTCAGTGTTACTTTTCATGTAAGAAAAGTCTAATTTGAATTGGTATGGTACTCCTATCAACAATTATATACGAAGTGTACCAATACCAATGTAATATAATATCGTACAATTCTATCATAAAAATCTAAATTGTTTTATTTTAAATTTGCTACAATTGTGCAGTTTAAACTCAGCTAACTCTTTAATCATTTGAAAAATAATATAGTTGCAGAGATGCTCTTGTTTAAAATAAAACCAAGAAACTTTTTAGAGTTGGCGTAGTTTTGTAAAGGACCATTGATTTGTATACTGAGAAAAATTTTACCTAAATTAGATAATTTTTTTTAAAAAGAACAGACACAAACTATACATCCGATATAACACCAACCGTACTTCATATTTCGTACTCTTATTAACACAAATTTATTTTTTACTCCTTTATTTTCATTTTAAATATATTTTAAAATAGTTTTATAAATATATTATTTTCAAATTAGTTCTGCTTTTCAACTGTTTATGAAAATGAATTATATATTTGGAATAAATGAAATTTCTGAATGGGCTACAATAATTACGTTTATATATGTTTTAGTCAAATTCAAAACATTTTTCGAGGTATTTTTCGAGAAATCTTTATAGCATGTTGCGAATAAATTCTTTCTCATTTGGTAATGTTTTTATTCGAATGCCGATAAACTTGTGTCCATAAAAACATTTTTTATTCAGCTATATTTTATTTTGAAACACAAAAAATGAGTAACTCTTATATATACCTTTTAGTTTTTGTTTATCTATATAATTGAAATAATTTTAGCGCGTTTTACCATAAGAAATTGAAAATGTTTATGTTACATAAAAATAAAAATTGTTACACTGAATACTCTTTACATATACTGTGTTATATAGAATTTGCTAGTTTAGCCAGAAAACGCCTTTTAAAGTTTTTCAAAAAATTTTTCGACCTTGATAAATTATGTTAGTTATACTCATTTTGTTTGTAAAAATATATTATTTATTTAATGTAATACTAAATTTAATAAAATATATCTTAGAAAATATTTGGAATAAAACTGAAAAATCCATTACTAAAAGTTTTATAAACCGTCCTTCCATTAAGTGGTTGTATATTCCTGTAGTTGAACAAAATTTTGTTTCCTTTCTCATTTTCGAGTTGTTTTAAGCCCTCAATCTATATATAATTGAAAATTAAATTGCATTAATAATTGGGATTCAAATTATAAAAACATTTAATAAAAATATTATATTTAATAATTTAGTACATACAGCTTGTGCATCAACTTGAATAATATCACGATATACAATCCATCTGACGCCTTCATCACAATCCGGTGTTGTTAAAGAACCTATGTAAAATATTTGAATATATTACGTAAGTAAGTACATACTTGTATCTTATATTTAAAAAAAAAATAAGAATATTATAAATTTACCCTCGTATGTTAAATATTTGAAAAGGTTGACATTTGTTAATAGATCTCGAAGTGTAGACGATGACAAATCTACTGTAACTGTAGTGTTGAAAGGTTGAATATTTCGATTACTCACTCGAAATAAATAGCTTATTAGATTTTCAATGTTATCTGATTTCTGAATAAAATTATTTTCATTAATAATTTTTTTTTTTATTTTATTATTATTAAAATATTTTCATACCTGAAGTAATGCACCCAATACTAATATGTCATTTTGCTTTGAGAGATGAACTAAATGAATTTCACCATCTAATCGTTTACCATTAAATTCATGCTCAGAGCCACCCCAGTGAAAATGAAATTGTTCTAGCAAATATTCTTCTCCAGAAAACGTTACAGCCGGATTAAAATTATCATTTTTAAATATTACATAGACTTAAAATTTTTTTAAAATAATTATTTTTTTTTATTTTTAATTATTGGATTAATTTACCTGTTTTACCATCATTTTTCAACTGAACTTTTCCTATAGGTTCATCATATTGCTGATAATATAATGCATATTGGTTTGTATATGAAGCCTTAAAAGAATTGTTATTTTTAATTTTTGTAATATTTAAAAATGAAGTAAAGAAAATAGAAAGTTCTGCAGCATACTCGTGAACTATCAAAGTTTTGATATAATGAAAATTATTTTCATTTTAAAATTTTTATTTCAGTTCATATAAGATTTCGTTATTTGAAAATATTATATTTTATTCTTACTTTACTTATGACAAGATTAATAGGAGATTGCATCCCTCCATTCTGGCATTGTCCTGGCCATACATCAGAATCATCTTGTTCATCATAGATTGTTTGACCACTAATAGCTTCGAATAAAAATAATACCTTATATATTTACGATATCATCACTATTGTAAGCATAAATTTTCAAATATTTAACGTATCTATTTAAAATCAACAGCAGTGAATTTTAATCCATTTCTCTTGATTAATTCAATTTTTACTTCATAAATTAAATAATTAAATTTCTCAATAGTTTTACAGAGATTTTGTGCAAAAACTACATAATTAATAGCTTCATTTAAAGAATTGATAAAGAATTAGACTCTGGTTTAGACGTTGGCTTAGGTACTATATCTAGTTGTGTGTCTTACATACGTATTTATTATAATTTCTCTGAATTCGTTATAAATAATTTTTAGAATTTTGTTATATCATACATGTACTTACAAAAGCCGTTTAGTAATATTGATAGAATTACAAATAGAACTAAAAAATTTACTTTTGTCATTTTTTGTATAATTCTAATAAGTTTATGATTGTTATAACCGCATCGATCGCTAAAATGACTTTGATTTTCTTAAATATTCCTTAAATTTTATATACTAATACGTTTCTTTCGAATAAAAATTTGAATTTTCAAATGAATTCCAAATTTTTATTTTAATTGTTATGTTAATTATTTGTTATAAAACAATGTAATTTTATAATTCGTATTGTTTATTAAATATATTTTGCAAGAAAATTAGTTAATTTAAATATTGTTTTTATAAAAAACTAAAAATTAATAGTTTATTTAGTATTTCTATTATAATATTTGATAAGAAAAATAATTTGATGTGGTCAGCACATAACCGCAAAGTGTATTGTCTGATTTAGCGATCACCTCTCCAACATTCTTTTTAAATTTTAAAGACTTTACTCAACTTTTAGTTAACACACCTAAAGCGCTCACTTTATGCCATTCGAAAAATTTTTCAGTTAGTTCCAATAGCAAACACAATTTAAATATGAAATTTCGAGAAATTCCGTCTATTAGTTCCTTTGAGCCCTGATTTTTCCAAAAAATTTATATAGATTCATTATTTTAACACCGTGAACTTAAATATTAAAATTCCACTTCCCGATTCAGCCGAACTTGAGTGCACAAACACGTGTGCACAAACAGAGACAAACAAACCGGCATCTTATAAAGAATATTTATGTCGCTACCGTAGAGAAGTGCGTTTTTATAGAAAACTCGACATGCAAAATTTCGTGCCATCACATAATTTGAATGCAATGTGCACGTTAAAAATCTTCATATCGGGTAATATGTATATGATTGTATGTTGTATGCAATATTAATTTAAGAGTGTGCACTATTTAAAGTTCAACATTTATTTATGTGTATAATATAGTATTTAGTATTTATGTATGGAAATTCTATGATAATGTGTGTATAATGTATATGTAGCATTTGTAATGTACAACTGTTATATTTACTTTTACAGTCAAGCTGTTAGTTTCGTTGTACATAACTTTCCAAAATTTGTAGAACATTGCCATAAGTTTCAAAAAATATGTACATAGATGTAATATTAAAAATTTTATTTTTTATGAAATATGTTCCATAAATGAGAATAACAAAAAATTGTGAAGAATCTAACTGCAACAAAATTTATAATCTCAAATGCGTATTTAAACCTACATGTACTATTATGTACGCATAAGAATATACTAATATAGTAATTTAGATTTTTGTATACAGAATTTGCTACTGACTAAACAGTGAAAATTTCATCATTCAGCAAAACAGATGGGAAAAATGAAAACAGGGGCTTTTACCAAATTAAAGATTTAATATTAATTCCGCTTTTTTGAATTTTGATACATTCATGCAGAGTCTAATATTAATTTTAATAGTGTTTACCACTGTATATGTCAAACTAAAGTCAAATTCTAGTGAACTTGATAGATATCTGCAGAATAAATTTTAAGTATGCGCTCAATCTGAAAGAATAAAATTATTGTTAAGAATTTTTAGACAAAAAGAAGAATTCAAATTTGAATAACACATAAGTAGATTTCAGCTTTTTTTTCAGCATGAAGTTTGTTTACCGAATTGCTTATGAAAAAGTAGAATGCAAACCTGACGTCAGCAGTTAAAAAAGATTGGTAGATGTTCATAGTCAAGAGGAAGAAAAATAACAAAAACTAAACGTGTGACTTGAATAACCTACCATTCTCTAGACTAGACGGACGCTCTTCAAACTGGTATTAAAATTATTAAAGCGAAATATGCAACTTTATAAACCATGGTTATAAAGTTACAACATGTTGTAAGCATCTCCTACTTTGTTAATCTTCATGTTAAAAATATTTTAAAATAAGTTTTAAAAGAACCCTGTCGTATATTAATTATTTAACTCCATGGTTTTAAAAGCAAAATTAGAAAATGTGCATACTTGTGGTTTCAAATAAAATAAATTAGTTGAAGATTTTTTAGATATTATAATTTATGTTTTATTTTAAATACTTAATTGATGACATTCACTATTTTTATAAATCATGATTTTAATTAGCTTTGTGTGATATTTAATTATTGTTTAATTAAATAATATAGTTAAATCAATACAAATAATGTACTCGATTATTTGGATTAAAACAATTTATTGGAAAAAAGTTTTATAAATAGTCCTGCCATTAAGTGATTGTATATTTCGGAAATTAAACAATATATTGTTATTTTTCTCATTTTTAAGTTGCTTTAAGCCCTCAATCTATAATAAAAAAAAAAAACAAACAAGAATACATTATTGTTTTAACAGTAAAAAAATTTTGAGAAAAATATTATATTTAATAAATAATTAATTACAGCTTGTCCGTCAACTTGAATAATATCACGATATACAATCCATCTGACGCCTTCATTACAATTCGGTGTTGTTAAAGAGCCTATCATACAGAAATATATATGTATGAGTATATATATGTATATATGTATATACAAGTAAAATCATGAAAAGTTTTTGTATACCTTCATATGTTAAATATTTAAGCAGATTAACATTCTGTAGTACATCTCGTAGAGAAGTAGATGAAAAATCCAATGTAGTTGTAGTATTAAAATTTTGTATATTTTGTGTACTTGTACGAAATATGTTACTAATGGCATTATTAGAAGAATCCGTTTTCTGCAAAAAATTAATTTTTTTTCACAAAATTATGATAATGTACACATGTAGATGTTTCAATAATATTATAGATTCCGTATATTTTTGCTATTTATAATTGTTAAATTCTTATTTATGTAGAACACATTCATATGGGTTTTCACTGGTTAATGCAAAAGGGCATCTGCTGATATAACAATGCAGATACATCAGAGTAAAACTTCGAATATTATAAAAACAATTATTGCGTAAAAAAAATCCTATACTATAGTGCAAATTTGCTACAAAAAACGTAATAATTTTTCTCGAATAAAATTTGAAATCAAATCTGATTAAAAAATAATAAAGAAGATAGAAATATTTTATGATAATAGTAATTATAGTAGTAGTTACAATAATAATTACTTTCTATAGAATTTCTTGTATAAATTTTTTTGCAATAGATGCTTAATTATTTCTAAACAAATTTTCCAAAATACTTTCGAACTATTTAAAAATATCGAATATCCAAAGTACTTTCGAAATGAAAAATATTTGTTTGTCAATTCTTTCAAGTTTTGCATAAGAAATTTTTACAGGTCATCCACTAGTTTTTATTTGTTGCACTAATGCATTAATGAGAGAAAACCCCTTACAATATTTCGGTAATAAGTGATTTCAATAATTTTTCAATAAAATTGTACGAAATTTATTTAAAATTTATATGTATTCAAAAATTTTTAAAATATTTTCATACCTGAAGTAATGCACCCAATACTAATATTTCCTCTTGCTTCGAAAGATGAACTAAATGAATTTCACCATCTAATCGTTTACCATTAAATTCATGTTCAGAACCACCCCAGTGAAAATGAAATGAATCTAATAGATATTGTTTTCCTAAATATCTAACACCAGGCATAAAATTTTGAGATTTTTGAAAGTCGACAACAACTTTAAAATATTTTTGAATTATTAATTTTTTCATCTAGAGATTTATATAAACGTTAGAATTACCTGATAAGCCATCATTTGTTAGAGTAACATTTCCAAGTGGAATATCATATTGTTGATAATTCAATGCTAGTTGATTCATATCTAAATAAATAGCCTTAAAAATTTTTTCATTTTAACAAAATTTTAATTGAAAAAAATGTAATTAAATTAAAAAACATAATATATTACTAAATATATTTTTCTTACTTTATTTATGACAAGATTAATTGGTGATTGTTTCGTTCCATTCTGACATGCTCCTCCCCACACAGCAGGATTATTTTGTTCATTATATATTGTTTGACCATTAACAACTTTGAATTCATTGTAAATATGAAATAAAATTAAAAATATATTGTAAAAAAATGTATGTACGGTTGATTAAAAATATTTTATATTTATTTGAAATTTATTCGATAATTGCGGAAAATTAGCAATTAAAGAGAAATTTGATCAAACGTTTGTATATAGTGTGCGTCTACAAATTTTTTGTAAAATATATTTAAATTGCTATTTAATTATATATAAACAAATGTTTGCGTTCATATGTACGTAAATGTATGACATGAGGTTATACTGAACGATATCTAAGCGGTAGGTAAATAAAATTTTAAAATTAAAGAGTTGAAAAGGAAATATTTAACTTATATAGCGCATTTTTTTTTCATAATTTGATATTAGTTCCGAGAATTGCCGTCCCCAATTTCCTGAGAATTCCCGGGAAAAAACCAGCAAAGGAAAGTTGATTTTTACTTTAATTTGTTTTTTAATTACTGCTTAATCAAAAACAAAATTTCCCTGGTTTTGAAATGGGTATTATTGTTTTTGAAAAGCAATTTCAAGCAATTTAAAACAGAAGTTAAATGAGAAATAGAATATTCTTAGCAAAGCAATTTAATTGATATGGGATTAGTAAGGAGAGCTGGTCCCTAAACTTAAAAACAAAAGGAAGCACTTATGACAATAAAAACCACTTCTACACGTAAACAAGCGTAGTTTTTCTACATTAGCAATATTGTCTCAAAAAACAAGATGATTGAGAGATTAATCAATTGACTGCTTATCCGTTTTTAAGGTATATTTTTTGATAGAATAAATTTTAACAATTAATTCAAATTTGAAGTTAAATTAATAGTTTATAGATTTGTGTATAATTCAAGAACGAATTTATTCTCTATATTTCATGTTTATATTATAATTATTTTTATTAATTTTTTTTACTACAAGATGAACCAAATTGAATAAATTGACTTCAATTGATTAATAATAAAATATTACATTATTATTATATTTACAATATTTTTATTATATTAGTAAATTTTTTTAAAACAGTCTTATAGTGTATTAAATATTATATTAAATTTATAATGTTATATAATAAGTGTTGAAATAAATAATTTTTTTCTCTCGGGAATTCCCAGTATTTCCAGGAACTGAAAAGAAGTTTTCGAATCCCGGAAGATATTTCTATTCTTCATACTTTTCAATGTTTAATGAAAATATTTTTAAACAGTTTATTCATTAGCTTTACTTTAATTTATTTATGTACTTATGCAAATTTAATTTTATTTAAATTTTTAATTCACAATAGTAAAATTAATTTCCTTTCTGATTGAAATAAAATTTGTATTTAGATTTCACTTTTTATAATACTTACAATAACAATTTAAGAATGTTAGTAATATTATTGAACAATTTAAAAATTGTAATTTACTCATTTTAAAAAAAAAATTTCTAATAAACAATTTTTTTGTATTTTGCCTTAAATATTTTATACAACCACGATTATTCTGATTGCCAAGAAAATTCTAACTTCTTTAAGAGCCATTAATTTTCTTTTATACTTACTTTTGTATACACTACCTATCATTATTATATTGCCACCTATAAATTTTAAGAAATTAAAATTAATGTATAGAATCAAAAGCATTTTTATATACATTCATACATTTTTATTCGGAAAATAAATAAATTAAACATTTTTTCTTGATATTCATAACTGTAAATATTTTTATAAATATTTTTACGTAATAAGACAGTTAGATATCATATATATACGAACGAACAAATTATTTTTTAGTTTTACGAGCACAATAAGGAGCAATAAATTAACAAATGACAATAATTATAATTGTTCAAATATAAAAAAAGTTTCATAAGGGAAAATATTTTTTAAAATTTTACAGGGACTTACATTTAATTAACGTTCTTCTAAAACCTAAATTAATATTAACATATAGAACAGGAAATTTAAATATCGGGATGAAAAAATTGATCTCAGAATGAAGTTAAATGAAAAAATTTTAAGGTCAGATTAAAATGATATGATTTTTAAAAATTTTCGTACTTGTGGGTTGTAATTAAAATTAAGAATTAATTCAATATACATATGAAGGAGATTAAGGTTCATGCATATGCAAAAATTTTAACTCTTAATATGTATTAAAAATTTAAAACAGATTTATATTAAAAATAAATCTGTTTACTTCGATATCAGAGCATGTGATGGCACTAGAATTATAATTTCAGCTTTACACCGGCCGATTTTTATTCAAATAAATGAATTATGTATATGAATTCAAAAATATTGATTTGTTGCAACGTATTCCCCATAATAATTTAAATTGCAGTGTAATTTATCATTTTTTGAAGATCGTAGCAAAAAGTTTTAGTTCTTGTTATTTATTTTAAATAAATTTATGGCAAAAGGGCAAAATATTTTCAAATGGAATTAGAAACACAAGATTAATAACAATAATAATATAATTTTCAATGCCAATGATATCGAAATTTCATTCAATCCATAATTTTAACTGCAAAGGCTATAAATCTATATATCAAATTTAAAAATTAAAATCTTCTATCACTTTACATCTTAAAATGAAAATTGCATGTTAAAATAACTTGTACTATTATTATAGAATATAAATTAATAAAATGCAATGATTTCAATTATCTTAAATATATAAACGTATGTACAATATACGGTAAATACAATATAAAATTTTCTGTTAACATAATTACAAAATGGACTGTAGCCCTTATTATCGTTTTTGTTTTTTTTATTGTAAGGTAATTTAAATAAGATTATATAGTTGTTATCATTATAATTTTAATTAAAATTGGCCAAATACATGTACATTACGTTTTTTGCTTTAATTTTGTGAAAAGTGTCAACTTTTTGATTAAAAAGCGAAATTATTGGTTTTTTGATTATAGATAATAAAAAAAGTTGTACATACAATGTATGTATGAATGCAATATTAAGTTATTGCATTCAAATCTAAATCAAATATTATTGCATATTGGAATTTGCTGCAAAAATTTGACATTCTATGTAAGAACATAATTTCATTGTATATACAATATTTATGAGGAATGCAAAAAAATTTTATTTGGAAAAAAAAAAACTACAAATTAAAATTATTATTTGCTATATGAAATAAATGCTATAAAAATTTGAAAAAAAAAAACTATTTCTGTGGTTCCAAGCACAAAATTGTTTTAATAGAGTTTTGAAGTTCTATTCAATTTTAAATTTTATTTCAAATTATTATTTTCTATATATAGTTTTATTTACATTCCTGTCAAAAAGCAGATAAATTTTCATTTCGAAGTTAGAGATTAAAAGTATAGAAAAAGTTACAATTTCTGAAAATTTGGATTTTGAGTTTAGTTTTCTTAAGAAAGAAATTTTCGAATTAATAAACTTTTCACTATAGAACCACTCACATTTACCAATTTTTAATAATTAGAAAGTGCCGAAAAGTATTTACTAGAAAGAGAAAGTGAAAAAATTTAGTGGTATATTTTCGTTTATAGATTTTCCTAGGTACCATGCAATATTCACATAGGCAAAAGAAAACTATTCTCAAAATGCCTTCCAAGTTCATTAAAATTGAATTTTAAAAAATGGTTTTTTATATAATATTACCTAATAAACCCTGAATTTTGAAAAAAAAGAAACGATAAAATGAATGAAAAAATGGTCGCTCTAATTGAAAATTATTATTTTTTTTTTTTATTTAAATCACAATATTCGTTTAATTTCTTTTCAATATGTATAAAATGCATATATATTCTTAACATTCTTCTTTATAGCTCACTGAAGTTATTTACAAGTTATTTCGATTTCTTAATCGAGAAGTACCAAGATAAAAAGCTCTTAAATACGATTTGTAAATAGTTCTTCCATTTATATCTTGTAGTTCACGGTTATTGTATCGTAAAATTTCACCATTTCTATCTTCGAAACGATTACTTAATTCTTCAATCTGTAATCAAAATTTTGAATTATTACAAAAATTTCTTTCAAATTTTAAAATATAAATGGAAATATAATATGACTTACCATTCTTTTATCAACTTTAATTAAATCTCGGAAAACAATCCATCTAACACCTTCCCCACAAACTGGTGTTGTTAAAGATCCTATTATATACATATAGATATATATTTATATATGTAACAATTAATTTTATATAATAATATTTTATAAAGTCACTTACCTTCATAGGTTAAATATTTTTTTAGATTAATATTATCTAAGAGTTGTTTCAAATTAGATTTTATGTACAAATAAGATGATTCCTCAAATTTTGTTATAGTTTTTAAGCTTTTCCGAAATATCTGACTAATTATGTTGTTGGAATAAAATGTTTTCTATATATTATATAAATTAAAATCAATGAGAAAATGCAGTTTCTAAATCTTTTGCAAAAAAAATTATGTATGTATGTATACGAGTATTAGTATCCTTTTAGGGGAATATAACACACTAAACGTTTAAAGTTCTTCAGTGTAGTTGAGAATACTTTTTAAATGGTACTGTATTTTTTATTGAAATTCCGTTACATGGAACAGTAAAAATTAACCTATATATGTATATAAACATTTAAAGTTTATTTTCAATATAAGAATGTGAAGGCAGATACCGGAAGTAATGCATAATTAGAAATATATATTACTCGTATATATACTTAAAGTATCATATAATACGTTTCGAGTGTTATATTCCCTTAAATGGAACGTTATAATTAATGGCATGTTCGCATTTTCATTCTATACCATATTACACTCATTTTCTAGAATACTTAAGACTTACTTTAAGAAGAGCTCCTAAAACCAAAATGTCTCTATTAACTGGATCCTGATGAACTAAATGAATTTCACCATCATATAGTACACCATTGATTGCATGTTCTGAAGCATGCCAATGGAAATGAAATTGTCCCATTTCATATTCTGTATTATTAAATTTAACAGTTGGTAAAATACGTTGATTTAGAAGTGTAACGTAAACTGAAAAATTTTTTTTAATAGAACGAAAAATTAATTTTCTATTTCTTTTCATAATATAAACGTAGATATACTTGTTTTTCCATCGTTGTATAATTTAATAAAACCAATACTTTTATCATAATCTTTAAGATCAAATGTTAATTCTCCGGATTTTGTAAGCTCAGTCTACATTTTTTCATTGTTTTGTAAATAAGTAAACATGTAATATATAAGTAAGTTTTGTTTTTTTAAATAACAGTTCAAATTTTCAAAACAAAAAGCAAAATCTTAATACAAATTTTGAATAAATGTGAATTCCGAATAAAGACTAACCTGTTTTTCGATAAGGTCAATAGGTGATTGTAATTTACCAATTTGACATTGACCAGACCAAACATTTGGATTATTCTGTTGATCGTAAATTGTTGCAGCTGTATATAAAGAGAATTAAAGAATTTATAGGATTATTTTTGGACTTTAAATTAGCAGGTTTTAAAATTTAAATTCAAATTTTTTCAGTTTAAATTTATTCTTGATACTTTTATATAAGATTGTTAAGGAACAAAATATTAATTTCTGAAATGGTAAGCCACACAATATTGAAAAACTAAATTTCATAAAATAATAATAATAAATTTTGAAATATTGTTGAAAAATTAGCATTCTAGCATAATTTACTCCCTGCTAAAACACAATTAAATTACATATTAACTATGAAACGAGCAGTTTCAATGAGTGAAAAACATGATTTTTAAAAGTCGTATGAAATTAATTCGCAATTAAAGAATAATTAGGTAAAACGTCTTTGATTAAATACAATTGTTAGGTTTTGTGCAAACACACCTTAGATTATCCCATATAGAATTACACCAAATTTACATTTGAAATTAAATGAAAATAAATTTTTGAAATTATAAAATAAAAATTCTAATTTTGTATAAATCAAAATTAATTTTATTTAATTAGCTATTTCATTTAATTTTGTACCGCACTCATCACTTACTTATTTTATTTTAATTGCATACAACTTTTAAAATATTTTTAATGTTTTATTTATATTATAATTTTAATTTTAACTTTATTATAATTTTTCATCCATCTTTAATAAAATTAATTAAATATTCTTAAAATACCACCCCATAGTTTTAAAAACAATCACAATATTTCGATATTTCAAACACAATTTTTATTAATAATTTTATATATTTAAAATATTTTTTAATTTTAAATTGAAAAATAATTTTGTACTTACAAGAAATATTAGAAAATAAAAAAACCAATAATATTATATTAAAACAAAGTAAGGCTTCCATAGTCAACGGTTTGATGAAATTTATCTTTTTAACAGAGACTTTCACAGGGCGAATTCAAAAGATCACTTTTTCATACTTTAATAGCCGGGTTTTATCTAAAGTTGTTCTACGATTTGATTACCTTTTATATATATTTTTCAATAGAATTTGCTTCAAATTTGATTGAAGGCTCATCATTATCATTAGACATTTTAATAAAAACAAGAAGAAAAAATAATAATGAAAAACATTTGCATTTTTACTTTTATAATTAAAAACAGCTTGAGAATGCATAGGTAAAGTACAATGCAAATTTTTATTTGTACATACTCTAGGAAATCTCAAATCAATTGTCGTGTATGTTACGGAATAAGAAAAAAATTCATTAAGGTTATATGCTGTGGAATATTGGAAATTTTTTAAATCAAATTAACTTGGCTACAATTGTTGCTATATTCTTTTTAAAATGCATAAACATCATTATGGTATTAAATTAGTAAATCAAGCTCAAATATTCAAAAATTTTTCGAGTGTTAAAAATTTACTAAGAGAAAATTCTTTGTAAAATTTTAATTCTACACTTTTGAATTTAAATTTCGTTTTAAATTCTTGTTTAAGTTCCGAATAAGTAGAAAATTTTTTAAAATTTTATTGGATTCCATTTAATTCGTCTTGTACATATATGAAATAATTTTATTTATTAATTAAAATTTTTTAATATTTAATTAATAAAAAAAAGAAATATTTTTATATTACTTCACCAAAAATTTACCAAATTCTTTTTTATAGAATCTTTAATACAGCTAGTATTAATGGGACTTTACAAAAATTTTATTTAATTAAAATTAAAATTATCCAACCTCATATAAAATAATTATTCGGGATTTCTGTGAACTTTTTATCATGTTGTATACATTAAAAATAATAAAGATTGTAAATATAATGTAGTAGAATATTTCACAACCGTTTTAGGTACGTTTGCAGTAAAGGTCGTCTATAAATAGGTAATGAATGAATATTAATAAAATTAACTGAAATTAAAAATCAAGTCTTATCTTAATTTCTTTAAAAAAAAACAAAATAAGAAACCAAAAACGTAAGGCAATAATATTTTATTAACTTATATGGGTATGAAATTAACAAAATTATAAATTTTCAAAAAGTACCGATTTCCTTTAGTATATAAAATTGAGAGTAATAATTTAAAAAAAATAATTAAAAAAAAATAATAAAATATTTATTAGAATAATTGAATTTAAGTATTTAAAGAAAACTCACTGATAAAATACGATTAGACTCATGTTAAACTTTGCTTATACAATTATTGTTAAGCTGCGTGTTCAATTCTTTGCTTAACGAGTGTAATTAAATTCAGTTCTTATACAGTCAAATTTGTTTCAAAATGCATTGTTGTTGCAGCAAAATTTCTGGTCGTAATTTTAGTTTTGGTAAATAAATTTCGTGTAATTTACAAGAGTTATGAATTTATTTTGTATATAAATCCTGGTCTCTTGATAATGCTTTCGTTAAGGTCTTTTAAATTTTCATAATATACATACATACATAATATACCATAAAACAAAATAAAAATTATTGAGAAATATTTTTCATAGTAGATCATAGAGTATAAAAAATACGCGCCGTGATGTTCTGCAATATGCGACATCGTTTTGTGTTTACACAATTGCTTCTACTATTTTATACTTATAATACTCAATAGTCGGTATAATGCAATACAATCTGTAATCCTTTTAATAAATAAAAAAAAAATATTAAAATAAATATTAAAATAAATATTAATAATAATTTAAGTATATATATAAAAAATATTAAAATATTTTTTATATATATACTTAAATACTTTCATTCACGCGGCGTGTTCTTGCGCAAGCTATAATTGTAGTTTTTATCACGAAATAACGAAGAAAAAAAAAACAAAGTTGACTTTATTTGTTTAAACAGTTGATGTTGAGGCAAAACCAGACAGTTGAAACAAATTAAGGTGTTAAGTTAAATAAATCTATATGTGCAAAATATACTGAACGGGTGAGAAGAAAGTTTAAGAATTAGCGTATAATTTATAAAATATAATGTAATTTTAGAATAATAGTAGAATGAGAATTTTTCTCATATTGTGTAAGTGCATCCAGTCGTTCAAATCAGCTAATGTACAAATTATGTAATTGATAAAAAAAAGTTTTAGTCTGCAATTCTTTAACATGTAATTTTTCAGATGAGTTTTCTGAGCTTTTGGTAAGCTAAACGGATACAGGCAATATACGTATTTGAAAACAAATTTAAATTATTTTTTATTCAATATTATGAAATTTATTTTTTTAGTGAAATTGCATTATGTTATTTATTTTATAAAAAAAAACAGATTTTATGAATATTTTTTCAAAAAAAAAAAATTACATTAAAAATAGTAAAAACATTATAAAGTAAAAATTAACAAAAACATTTTTTTTGTGTCAAATATTAAATCGAAAACTTTTATTAAAAAATAATTAAAATTTAATTATTCATAATTCTTTCTCATAAGACAAAATTATGTATGTATGTATATAATAAAACTTGAAATAAAAAAAAGGGAAGTAAATGAAGTAATCTTGACAGCTGTCACTAGTTGTCAAACTAGTTTATTTAAAATATGTTAATACAAGAAATTTAAAAAATAGCAATTACATATTACTATTTAAGAAAAATACCAATATTCAAAAACATCAAAGTTGAAAATTTGTTATGCTACAGCAATATTAAAACAAAGCTAAGACTCTAACAACCTCTTGTTAGATTGCTTTTATACTCCAAGCTATGTTTATTAATGCAGTGACCTATGTCTGCACTTCTACCTTTGTCAGCACTGTCGTTGTAAGATAATACATATTTAATTAAAATTCAAAATTTATAAAATTTAAATTAGAATTAACCATTTTCCTCAAAAACATTTTCAATCGCAGCCCAGCCCGTTTTTTTTGTTATTCCCGTGATATCTTACCATATTTTTCTCCCAAAGAGTTCACGTTTCTCCAAAATCACTACTCGTACATTTTTGAGTAATTTTTGAGTTTAAAGATCAACATTTTCGTATAAAAAATTTATTCCAAACATGATATATTTATGCATGTACATATTATGCTAAAAATACACCTAGATTTAATCTGGAATTAATCTAGATATAATCAATTATCCAGTTTAAATACACACATAGATATATGTCCAATTGGTGAGCGAATATATTATATTTACGTTTCTATTATGTAAATAAACTAAAAAAGCAATTTAGTGATAGCCAACAATTTTTTAAAGTTTTTAAAATGCTTATTTTTTATTTATTATACAATCATTAAATATTTTACATTTTAATAACTAAAGACTAGATTTAATAATAATTAATTTGTTTTTTATTTTTAATGAAAAATAACATTTCGATTTTTATATTAATTGCTCAACAACTTTTAATACAACCAATCCCATTTGGAGTAATGAATATCATTATCAATAAGCGTATTTGGTGTATTTTTAATATTAATTTTTCTTAAAAATATTCTACGATTTCCAATTGGTTGAACTGATCTAAAATTATCAACTAAAACTGAGCCTTCTAACGAGCTATGCAAATGACGGAATTTAGAAATCTGAAAACAAATAATAAGTAAAAAACTTAATACACAATGTTATTATTAAATTAATTTTGTTGCGCTTATAAAAAGGTCTAATAATCATTTTTATATTATAAGATGACAAAAGATTGAATTTTAACTTTCAAAATTTCTTCTTAAAAAAAAATTCAAAAAGTAATTATTTCCCACAGATTAATAGTATTAAAAGATATCTTCTTTTATTAATTTTGCTAATTGCATTTTATAAATGAAGTATCCAGATCTGTATATTGACTATAACTACAAAGTACTGTTAGAATTGTATCACGATATTTAGGCATTTTTAACGAATAACAACAGTCAAGCAAATCAATCTACAATATTTTATACAACTGTATGTTAATTTATCCTCTCCATAATCACGGACGTTTTTGTTTTACAACAGAATTACTCAAAAAATAGTATAAAACTACTTCAAAGAGACAAAATTTTTGATTTCTTAGTTTTTTCAATATTGTTCAATTTTTATTGCATAAATTCAGGCGTACAATTAACAAAGCTTTTCGAATTGAGAATTGCATTTCATTTCAATAACTTTAATGTTATTTCATCTCAGAGCTATTTCTTAATGAGAGAACTAATTTTCTGTTATTTTGAAAAATTAATTATAATTTTTTCTCATATTTGTTTTTAAATATTAAAATAATTAAATTTTAAATGAATACAATTATATAACTGACAATAATCAAATTTTTTATCGAAAAAGCTCTCTCTTCCTGTAACGAGCCCATATTATAGTGCATAATGATAAGCTAGTAATACAAGAAATATAATATTTAAATCTTAATTAATCTCTATAATTTATTACGATATTAACAACTACATGTAATGTAATTGTGAAAAAGCTAAAATTATTTTTCATAAGAGAGAAAATAAAAAACAAAAAAACAAATTAAATGTTTAGATTTGCGAAATAAAAATGAACAAATATTTTTACAATAAATAATAAGATTTAAATTTTGTATTTGTTTTTCAATTTCATTCATAAAATTTTATGTGAACAACGTGACGACGCTTTCATATTACACACCAATAAAATAAAAAAGCAGTTTTATTAATTAACCGAAGCTTTTTACATATTTAACATAAAAACTTAAATTTGCATAAGCAATCAAATTACGATATGAGTTTTTATCATAAAAATATGCAGAATAGTTATTATATTGCAAATTTATGACTAAATGAACTGTTATAAAAATTCTTTATTATTTGGTTATTTAACTTGTAGATAAACGATAACGATTCGTGAAAATATTTACCTGTGATGTTGATATCGGTATTGGATCCGGAAATAATACCCATGTGACAGCCTCTGAGCAAGGAGGTGTTGTTAATGAACCTAAAAATTATTAAAAAATTTTTTTAATTAATTATATAGCAATAACTAATAGCAAATTTATTGAAAAACTGAATAAATAATTTTTAGATTTTTTTTTATCTGAATATACATATGTACATATAGAATGTATCCATACATTTCATTTCATAATAGATATTTTTGATTTGTTTTTCTTGAACAAATTTGATTTATTAATGAAATATAGAAATATAACACTAACGTGTTAAAATTATAAATAAATACAACACTATTTTAGGTATTCATTCATATCCATATGTGATATCTTAATTTTAAAATAAATTAGATAAAATATAATAAAGTTAAGAATATTTTAAATATAAAAATAATTCAAAAAAATAAAATATTTTGTACCTCTGTATGTATAAAATCTATTATCATCAATATTTGCAAATAAAGATGAAAGTGCAAATGTTGAATTTAATAAAGTAAAATCCTCTGGATTTGGAATTTTATTCAAATTCTTAACAATTTGATGTAATTGTTCACCTTCATTTTCATCTAACTATATTTTAAATAAAAATAAGAAATAATATTAAAGATATTTAATATTTATTTCTCATATAATAATATTACCGCATAAAAGAATCCTAAAACAGCAACACCATCTGAATATTCGAGAGCCTCTCCAAGGCTAGCATATTTTTTATTTCGATGAACAATATGCATTTCCATTGCATAACGTATATCATTGATTAAATGTTCAGCACCACGATTATTTTTATCACCCCAATGAAAATGTAAACTTTCTATTTCATAATGTCCTTCAAGTTTTCCACCATAAATAAATGGTAAAAATTCACCCATTTCAATTTCTGTATCTGTTAATCTTGGTATATGTAATATAACAGTATGACCGTTATTAACTAATTTTAATGGAGCTGGTAATAAATTATGATAACCAACAAATTCTATAGCTGGCATTGGAATTGGTATTGCACGACTTGTTGATAATGCAATAGGTGATTGCATTTTACCTATAAATTTATTATAATTATATAAATAAATAAAAATTTTATAGTAATTATAATTTTTTTTTTTTAAAAATAAAATTACCAGCACAATGATTATGTTTTTTAGACCATCTTCTTTGATCAGGGCGATTATAACCAAATCTATGATCTCCAATTGAATTGGAAATTTCTATAAAATAAAAATAAAAATGATAAACAATCAAGTTTAATAAAATTTCAAGATAAATCATGGATTTTGAAATGAATTGTGAAATTATTATAGCTGTATATACTTGTAAAATAATAAGGTAATCAGACCATCAAAAGTTAAAAAGTGAAGGAATAGGTTCTACTAAGTTATTTTTATTGTAATTTGGATATTTTGTTGAGAAACAATATTTTACGATATACGATACGTGCCTAAATAATAAAAAAACCTAAGTTTAAATATTAATTAGTTTGTTTAAACATCCTAACACACATATATTTCTATAATATCAAAAAAGTCGTAAAAAGTGATCATGTAAAACAGATTTTATTTTAAATTTACGAAAATCAGGAAATTGGATTAATACGATTTAACAATTTAATAAATGTAAGCATATATAAATAATCAAAGCGTTATTAAAAAAAAACTTTATTAACGAAAATTGAAATTCCCCTTGAATTGTAATTATGGAAAATACCCTATAATTAAAAAAAAAATACACATATCGTTTCCAACGTATAAACTTCATGAAAAGTTTTTGAACTAAATTATTATCTGAGAAACTTTAAGCTTTTCTTGACCGTCTCACGGTATTTCCTAATTTCTAACTTTATTAATAAGTAAAACATTTATGTAGTGTTAAATTAATGAGTAATACCGATATTGCATTATTGCGAATAAGATTGTAGTGCAATTGTATAATTGAGTTTTGTAATTTTTATTACAATTTAAAGTGGGAATTAATCTTTTAAATTGAATAAATATAATGACGTTTATATTTCTTTTTAAACTGTCTTGAACGCTACCATTTACACTGTAGTTTTAAAAGGAATCTTAGAAATCATGACTTTCTACATTTACATAACAATATCGCTTGGTTATTCACATTTTTTTATTTATACATGATTTTAAAATTGTTCTTACAAAGCAGAAGATACTGACGTAAATGTACTTGCCAAAGATTTATTTTTGAATTTTATTTTAAAGTTTGCAATTAAGAAAAAACTAAAATATTTTAAAAAAACCAATAAATGACCAAAAATAGTGGCCGTTTAATTGTATTTAGAGTATACAAACTGAAATTTGAAATAAAATGAATTTCATTAGTAAGTATGTGGTTAAAAATTGATAGCAAAGTCTAAAAATAAACTGGTATACTGTCTGTATTATTATTAACTTAAAATATAATATAAACCATGAGTTTAAATATATTTTCGAATTATTATATAATTTTTACACGAAATTTTCACAATAATTTAGGTTAGCGTCAAATCTATTCGATAATACAATTGAATAAGATTTTTAAATGAATATTGAATAGTTCTATTCAAATTAGTTTGCATTAAATATTATTATTATTCCAAATTCTTGTTTTAGATTCATTTCTTCATGAATTAATTAAGCTTTAGGAAGCAGGTTACGACTTCCTTTAATTCGTCGTATATTGCTTACTTAATTATTTTGCTTATATGTTGCTTATATTTAATAATTTAAGTCATGTTCTAAGTATAATATTTCTTCAAATTTTCAAAATAATTTAATCATATTCTTGTATATTTAAAATCAATAATTTATTTTATCTATAAAATTTATTTTATATTGATCATGGTACAAAAATAAAATTATCCTAAAATTAAGTTTATGCTTTTTGATTCTTTATAAATTTTCTTCTCTATAGGATTAAAATGCTAAGACAAAATATGTACACATACGTATTCGTAAATGGTGAATTGTACGAGCCAAAACGCAAAAAAATGAGTCCATTCTCATTAAAAATTCTCCCTATCTATAAGTATAAGTCTAAGTATTTATAACAATTAGGAGCAAAATGAATTGCCAATAACTTTATTTGCTGTTTTCGGCAATTTTATTTCTTAGTCCAAATATATAGAGAAAACTTATATATTTAATAACAAAAATACAAAAACACAAATAAATTCTTCTAATAACTTATAAGCAAAATCAGAATTTTTGAAACTGAAGTGTTGTGGAAAAACGGAATTCCATTTTACTCCCAATTTTGTTTTTTTTTACTTTAATTTACATAATGAAAATTTTTAATGGGTGGATTATTATTCTTTTGTGTTGGGACTCGTATATATTCTTAAACTTGTTTTAATAACTCAAATATGAATAAAAATTATTCAAATATCTTAAATATATTCCGAATTAAAAATTCTGATATTATTATAAAATTTTAGAAATTATATAAAGCACAAATTATTAAATAACAATAACGAAAAATAGAAAAACAAAAAAAGTCAAAATAAAAAAGATAATTTAATTATTACTGTGCTTGTACATATATATATAAATGTATGTATATGTATATGTATATATATATATATATATATATATATATATATATGCATAAAAATTCTTATATATCTGGAGTTGAATATTTATTTACGCACCTCTACGGCATAAATTTTAAATTTCAAATTCTACGTACAGTGCATTCAAGAATACGATAGCACAAGAATTAAATTTTTTAAATCGTACAACTTTAATTAGCTAATTGGTATTGACTTTAAAGTTTTAAAATATTTGAAAACCACGTTTGCTATTAATGCCATATATCCATACGAAATTATTTGCTATTATTAAAAAATATTTTAAATTACACAATTCTATTTGAAAATTTTCAAAATAAATTAATTTTATTCTGCCAAGCTCTTACATTTTATTTTACTTTTAATGTAATTTTGTGAAATCACGGTATTATTTTTTAAAACAAATTTGCTATAAAACCGTTCTAAAATTTTGGAAATCTTAAAAGTAATTATAAAATTTTAAACTAAATATTATTTGTGCATTTAAAATTATTATTTAAAATAATAAAATTTGCCAAATGTTTTTAAATAAATTTTGATTTTGCGAACTATTGTATAAAAGCCTCTAATATTATCTATTTTTAACACTTATTGGTATATATTTTACGTAACATACATAACATTGTTTTCAATACTTTTTTCAATATTTTATCACGTTTTTCCAAAGATAATAAAAATTTATAAGTATATTTAAATATTGTAATTATAGTAATCAAATATGAGTAAATATTTCAAAGAACCTTTATCGTATATATTTTTTGAATTTATTCATTTTTGCATATTTAAATAAGCAATTTTTTTTTTGAATTTTAACACTTTAGTAAAAAATATTTAAAAGGTTTTTAATAAGTTGACTTTCACTTTCCTTAACAATTTAAATGAGAATTTTTTGTAGGAGTGATAAGTTTTGTAAACAAACAATTTTGTACACTAATTCTTAAGATATTCTTAGATTGTGTCACTTAAATATTTATGTATATTAGAATATTCACATGTCATAAAAATAAAATTTGTCAAATTTGTTATCTTTATTTAAAATTTAGGAAAGGTTTATGCAGATAACAAAACATATACTAATAATAAATACATAAGTAATGATTATATAATAACGATTATGTTTTAATTTGACGTGATAAAACAGCAAAAAAATTCGAACACTTATGTTTCTTCTTCTTCTTCTTCTTCTTTGCCTTTTCCCACCTATCTGGGGTCGGCCCTCCTAGTACGCAATCGCCAGGTTGTTCTATTTTGGGTTGTCAATTGCTCTAGTTCGTCTCGTTGCATTTCCTTTGTTATATTGGATAACCATGTAGCCAGTGGGCGACCTCTTCCTTTGGGTTTCGTTGGAATGTTAAGCACCTTTTTAACAATGTGATCTTCTGATCTTCTCATAACATGGCCATACCATCGAAGACGCGTTTCTCGAAGTTTTTCGCTTATGGGTGCAACCTTGAAACTGCCCCTGACGTGAGTATTTTTAACTTTATCCAGCCTTGTAACTCCGCCTGCCCATCTAAGCATTCTCATTTCATTTGTGCTCATCTTTTGTTCATGAGTTTTCTTTATTGTCCAGCATTCCGAACCGTACATCATAGTAGGTCTTACCACAGATTTGTATATTCTACCCTTAGTTCTGATTGGCATTCTTGCATCGCACATTACTCCAGATACAGATCGCCACTTCAGCCAGGCACTGTTGATTCTACTGGTAACATCGTCATCAATCTCAGCTTTTGATTGAAGCACTGAACCAAGATACTTGAAACGATCAACCTTGTTCACCATATCTCCTTGAATATAAATTTCTTGCTCGCTTTCTTCTCCGTTTTCTACATCTTTTTCAAATTTACAAACCATGAATTCTGTTTTGCTCCTACTGATTCGTAAACCATTATTTTCCAAAGCTTTTACCCATTTGTCAAAATTTTCTTGTAGTTTTCCTACATTATCAGCAGCAAGAACAACATCATCTGCATATAATATGCACCATGGTGTCGGCATCTGTATTTCCTTGGTAAGATAGTCCATTACGAGATTGAATAGAAACGGGCTTAGAGCCGAGCCTTGGTGTACTCCTACTTTCACTTCGAAAGCTTCACTTATACCTGCCTCACTCTTTATTTTCGTACTTATTTCTGCATACATGTCACTTAATATATTGATGTAAACTTCAGGTATATTATGGGCCCTAGCTGCTTGCCACACAAGTCTCCTCGGAACTCGGTCAAAAGCCTTTTCAAGATCTATAAATAGAAGATATAAATTTTCGTTGTTCGATCGATGTTTTTCCATTAATATTCTAATTGCTTGAATGGCGTCAGTTGTTGATTTTCCTGGCACGAAACCAAATTGATTTTCTGTGACTGCTGTTATTTGCGAAAGTCTGTTGTTTATAATTCGCTCCCATATTTTCAAGGTGTGTGACGTAAGTTTTATTGCTCTATAATTTCCACATTCGCCCACATCTCCCTTATTCTTGTAAAACGGAATAAGAAAACTGTTTCGCCAACTGTTTGGAATTTTGCCTGTCTCTATGATGGTATTAAATAATTTAGTTAGCCATGCAGTGCCTACTGCACCTATCTCTTTCCAGATTTCAGCCGGTATCTCGTCTGGACCAACCGCTTTGTGGTTCTTCATTTTCATAAC